AGCAAGCTCAGCGCCGTCATCGCCTGACGTGAGCAGACGTTCCTCCTTCCAGTCCAGCCCCAGACCGTCACTACCAAGGTCAGCATCATACCTCACCAAGCACAGGAGAACGCCGGCAGCGGCAGCAGGTGCTCCCACAACAAATGGCAACTCAGACCAACCTACACCACCAGGAACGTCGGACGATTTGAAGGGCATGGCCACTAACAGCAGCAGTGTGAGGCAATCACCGCCGCCACTGACAGACGACCGAGGCATGCCCAAGGGCGCCATCATTTCACCGCCCGATTCGGGAAGCGAAGAGGAGGACGTTGCAGAGCGTGGAAGGCAGATTGAGAATCTTAAGGAGCTTCAGGACATCATCAGCCAAATACCCGTGAAGAGGGAAGCCTCGCCGACCAGCTCCAAGCTCGATCAACCCGCACTTTCTCTCATCACCAAGGAAGACCTCCCCAAGGAGGGTCTGCCCACCAGCTTTAGCACCAGCTCCCTGGATGCCCTCGCCAAGACGGTCGCCCGCCGCGTCAACCACGTGAGATCCAGCACCGAGCCCAGAATAATAATGGAGTCGGCTTCCATCACTGGCTCAGAGTCTGACTCGGACGGTAACAACTTCGAAAATAAGCCCCCAATGGTACGAAAGAAGTCTGGAGAGCTCGTCAGACCCGCACTTCGGCCTGCTTCTGCTCGCAGGCGGCCGTCCAGCATGCCTGGCACCCCGACCTTCTCCAAGGCCGTTCACTTCGACTCACACCTCGAACATGTCCGCCATTTCCTCCAGGTTGATCGGCCACTCGCTGTCAGTGCCGGATCCTCGCCGGTCGATGCCTACGACAGTGATACCGAGTACCCCTTCCCTGGAGAAGAACGCCAGAACGCTCGCACTCCCCCATTCGAGTGGGAGATCGTTACGGCAAACCACCCCGCCGATACCCCCATCCGCAAGTCCCTGCCAGTTCGCCTCGAGAGGGTCTGGTTGTCACCCGACCAGAAGAACTTGCTGGGCTCCGTCGCAGTTGCCAACCTGGCATTCCAGAAATACGTTACGTGCAGATTCACTCTGGACTACTGGAAGACGACCTCGGAGGTCGGTGCCGAGTACTCACATGAGGTTCGCGCTCAGGACGACCACGTTGCTCAGGACCGATTCACGTTCAGCATTAAGCTCTCCGACCTGGCTAACCTCGAGACGAAGACGCTCTTCTTCTGCATCAAGTACAACGTCAATGGTCAGGAGTACTGGGACAACAACAATGGCACCAACTTCCAGGTCGATTTCCGCAAGAAGCATCTGCCCCAGAACGGCAAGCGAGGCCTGCAGGGTGCTGCTGGCCGCCCGGCGCTCCCCCGTAGCAACCGCCGCTCGAGCCCTTCTTCGGCACCTCGGCCCAAGTCCATGCCTGTCGGCTTCGATGACTTTGGCAACCAGTCCAAGCTGAACTTCGACCAGCCCATCCACGAGTACCTGGGCGAGTCAGGCCCAACTGCGGGACTTCGCCTCAAGATCAACAAGTCCACTGGCAACTTGGCTAGCGATAACCTCTCCAGCCGACTGACTGCCCCCAGTGGACAAGCCTTCTCCAACCGCTATGACTTTGGTGCCTCCCTCACTGCTGCTGTGCAGGCCGCAAAGGACACCATTGGCAAGGACCGCAACCAGGATGGTCTCTATATGAAGAGCCATCGCAAGATTCACGTTCCTGCCCAACAGCCCCAGCAGGCGAAGCCGGCCCCGGCCGTGACCGCTCCCCCTGTCTCCAAGCCGGTTGTCAAGCAGCCCACTGTCCCTGGCACCGACTCCCCCAACCCTTCCCTTGCCTCGTCATCATACGAGGAATTGGTCAACAAATACTGCTTTGTACGTACTTCTGGTCAACAATCATCCATGTCCGACCCTTTCATCACCGACCCTCACCGATCGCCCACTCTCAGCCCAAAAAGCATGTACTGACCTTGGCTATCAACAGTTCGGCTCCAAGCAGTCTAGTCCGCAAATTAAGGATGGCATATTGAGGAACGGCAAGTTTGACGGAGCTGACGATGTTTTTGCGACCCGCGGATCCAACAGCACCAGTTCGAGCTCCAACGGCAGCCCCAGCATGGCCCACCAAGCTCAACACGCCGGACCCGCACAACACCACGCCTTTCACCTCCGCGACTCCAACCCTTACTTCCAGCACCTAGGATCCTACGGTGCATCACCAGCCTCATCTCCACTCAGTCAGCCATTGCAAAACGAGCGACCCGCCAACCAACGTCCGAGTCAGGCTACCACCCCAGCAACAATGAGGTCTGCCTCCCCCGCGACCTCGGTGGGTGGCTTCCCTTTCGCCGGTACGTCGCCAAATGAATTTCCGTACGCCCAGCAACTGCAGGAGCGCTTCCCATTCAATACCGAGACTCATGCGGCAACAGCAATTAGGGGTTAACGGTGTCGCTCACTCCACCATGTGATCGCATCGTCTTTGCGGTCTCGTCATTTGACTTTTCTCGATTGTGTTTTTTGGACGAAACAAATATTTCAGCTCATCTTTCGGACACTGGCGTTTAATGGCATTCGACGCCAAAAGGCCAGGGACGGCCATGGCATCGGGGGGCGTTCAAAGAGTTTTTCACAGTCCACGGCCCTCGATTCCATTTCACGACTTCCCGAGCATACGAAGGGCATTCGGGGGTCATTGGGAAAATAAACAAAACAGCCTTGCTTTCTTGGTCTTTCATTCGTTGCCCATTCTTGATGAGCTCAACGCAGCGTCGAGGGGATGAGTCTCTTTTTCGGATGGGTACTCAGGAACGATCTGCATACAAGGAGTTCCTTTAATGCATAATTCGCTCGCACCTTCACTCTTGACCTTCAACAGCGGCTGTCATTGCGCTTCGAATTACCTTGTCATTTTTTTTACTTTTCTCCTTGTCGACCTTTCTTTGCGGACGCGGTAGAGGATGAAGGACCACCAGCACACGACATTAGGGGTTCTAGAGGGCTACGGGCTATCGAATACTTGCTTTATTGGATTGGGATGATACCAGATGACATGAGATTGTCTCTGTCCGCCTCAGGTGGATGATATCAAGGGTGTATAGCGGATCCCCAACCTGTTCAATCACCCCAGTACGCTGCGTGGTATTGACAGGTCTGTCGAGGAGATTCCGTAGCGGTTGGGTTTGGAACGGACAAAAGTTGAGGAACCGAGTCTTGAGATTGATTGAAGCATCGACTCGTTCGTGACACAATAGGTACCGGTTCATACAATGGGCGTTGGGAACATGGACGCAGTCACTTAGCAGAAGCGTTCGGCCATTTGGCTTGATTAGTTAGGGTAGCATGGGAAGACAAAATAACCTGCCATTGCTCACACACTCTTACTTTCTCTCATGACGTGACGGTAATGTGCCTCAGCTATTCTGTTTGACAGTTGATGCTCTCCACACCCCGCCACATACCCCGGACGCCCCTTCACCGCCGGGGCGATCCCCCGGATCCCCATCAAAGTCTCATCTGCCGTTCCGAGGGCCATTATTCTCAAGTTGTCAACCTCAGATTCCATACCCATGCGACCACGACCGCGAACGCATAAGGACGGTGGACTTTCATTACTTACCATGACCAAGTGATCAATCTCCCCAAGGCTTGGTGGTTGTTCATCCTATTTTCGCGGTTTCAGGGTCAAGTGTATGCGGTACGTCGTTTTCGCTTTCGGATTGAAGGGGGGTTTTGTACGAGAATAGTGGGGTAGTCGTGTTGCATAATCTGGGGCGTATGTACACCCATCGTGAAGGGGGATTTGGTTCCGGTGTGTTTTTGCCCCTGTTCGCGGGCCTGGGTTTGTCGAGAGACGGGATGTTTTTAGGGGTATGGGAGAATGTGGATGCGAGCATGTTGTTTTAGTGATGATGGTCCACGGGGAAGGAAGATGTATAATGTGCAGGAAATAGATGGTAGATTGGCAGTTACAAAAACGAGCTCATTTTGATGAGTGACGCCGCTGTTCTTATTGAAGAGTGGCTTACTGATCAGGGATTAGCCCCCGTGAGGCCTGGGCTTAGATGTGTATATTGGGTCGTGACAATATAGCGTTTCACAGGGCATTGATTACTCGGATTATCTTGAGTTGGTCGATTACTCATTGGAATTCGTTCGCACGAAGTTTCTACCAAGTAGTATGAAGCAAATCATAGCTTAACACAACAGTACACAGGCCTGCAAAGATGGTGGCGGAGATGAAAGTAGTATCCGGTAATGGTGATGGACTCAAAAAGACGTAGCGGAAAGACAAGCCCCCGGTGAAAGACAAATGCGAAGTCATGGACTAGGGGCCGACAGGGGTCGAGATATATCTTAAGATAGAGTAGCTTAGAACAAAATTTTGTTAGAGATTCAAAAGGACCCTCATCAAATCAGATCGCAAGGACAGCTAGCCAACTTTCGGCAGCTCCACTGCCGTGCCGAGGCGAACTGCGCATCGCGCTATTCAAGAAAGACAAACCTGCTTCGAGTCTGACAGTCGGAATATATCGATGGAAAAGATCCGGTGATTTGCTAATGAAGATGATATAGTGGAATGACGATGAAGAGTTATCAAAAACATCTGTTCTGGCAGCCTTAACGTCCTTATTATCAACGTATAGGTGACCATACACTCGAGAGATAATCATGGTAATATCTCTCACGTTATATGCCAGTGTTTTCCTTACTCGCGTATTATCACAAAAGAGTATTGGTATTATCACTCTTTGAGCGATCTATTACGCGTGGACTTAATCTACTAGAAGGTTTCGGTATTTTCGATGAATAGACAGGTTCAATTTTCAACGGCTGCTTTGCGTTCTTTTTGACGGCTACAGCGTTGCGCCATCGTAGAATGGTTCGGAGCTCACAGCATCGAAATTGTTGCAACCTGCAGTATTGTAAAATAATGTGTATTGCTGTTCTACGGTGGATCACATAACCCCTCTTCCAGAGTAACTTCACATCATTGCCACAAGTCCTCTCCAAGCTCTTACTGCTCAGTCATACCAGGAGGGCACCCGCCAGTGTAGTGTTCACACTCCGCAACCCAGTCACTACCGTAGCTCGAGGCGCAGTTCGCTTGGGTGATAGGCGTGCCCATGATGCACTATAGGGTTTTAGCATTGCAACAGTACTTATAACCACTTGTTGGAAACAGCTTACCGCCTGGACGTTGGTCGCCTTGTTCACGCAGTATTTATGGCCAGAGCCGGGCTTGCAAAAGTGGTAGGCAGCGTGCAGATCGGGGACGCTCTTCTTGTAACAGTTGCACATCCAGGCCGAAACACCCAGAGGAGCGCTACGATACGAAGTCAGCTATCACTCAAGGAATAACGAGAAAAGTCTTACAGATACAAAAATGCAACAATGGCAGCGGCCTTCATTGTGAAATGAGACGAGAGAAGTAGGACTGTGTAATGGGATTCGATGATGAGGGCGATGATGTTCCACATTGCTTTTCCAGAGAATCTGGCGTCTTCCATTTTATAGACTGTTTGTTATGTATCCAAACAACCCGCTGTACCGTGATAGGTAGCCTTAACTCGACTTGTCGAGACTACAAAATGCGCGTGGCCGAGACAAAAGTCTGTTCCTCCCTGTCTGGGTCTTTTGCCCTTTGAGCTATCATGGCACTAGTCAAATTGAACTAGGCCATCGTAATTGGCGGTACGAGCTTTAGGTGACCGTCACTCAGCTTTCTCCTACCAAGGCTCAGAAGCATCCCACATACTGCCGATAGTATCCCACCGGGTGCTATCAAAGGCCAAAAGCTTGGTTTATTTCGGAGCAGAATCAATCAGCCTAATGAAAATGCAGTTCTATCCTAGTTAGGCAATTCTTAGGTTTCTTTCTATTCAGGCTGAAGGATGTTGAAGGAAGATGTTGATACGGTGAGTGCCTCCCGCTGTCTCGGCGAAACCGACGAGGCAGCACCTTGATATATTAAACAGCATTTGAGTTCTCACAGTTACCAGCCTTGAGGAACAACACACTCTTACTTCGTGTATAGACTCGGAGAGTTTACCTAAAGTAGTAAGTAGGACTGAAAAAGAACCCCAAAGTAGCAAGGTCTCCGACATCTTCGTGATCATACTCACGTGGGGCCACTTGTCAGAGACGCTTTGGTGCCGTGATGGCAACTTGGCTCAGTGGGAAACTCTTCTGGAAGGCCCACAAGCCGGCGGAAAAGGCTTGTCCAAAAAGCTTGTTTGAGAGTCTAGGTCTCTAGACAAGCACTTCCTGACCTCAACTTGCTAAGAGTCGCCAGTGAGAGTGAAGGCTCCTCGGCGGATCCCCTAGACCACCTGCGTGTTGGCAACCGCTAACCTCCACAGATTGGCAACTCTCCCAATAGGGCCAAACGACCACAAAGTGGGAGGCCGAAGCCTGGGCATTCTGCCGGCCAAGCTTTGCGCTACTAAACGTTTGCTTGTGGTGATAACACCGGCGAGAGTTCAAACGCTGGAGATGTTGGGAGATACAAGGGACGGAGACATTGCAAGTGGCCAGTGTCTAAGAGCACTTTTGTAAAAGCCTCAAATTTTGTTTCCACTTTACGCTCTCGGCCGTTCATGGCAGTGCTTCTCGGCCTTGGGGATGGGCTTGATACTGACTGTAAGACAACTATTTAAAGTCCGCTGTTGATCCCCCAGAAGTTCTTGCCAATTCCAGACTCATACCTCGTCAAACATTCATTCTCTGACTTTCTACTCTCGCTCGATATCTTTCTAGATTATCCACTCTTTGAAATCTTACAATGCGTCTCACAGGTGCCCTCGCTCTTCTGTTGGCCGTTGCCACAGCCTCTCCTGTTGCAGTCGCCGACATTGGATCCAAGGACGTCAAGGAGATTAACGGTCAGTATATCTGATATGACGAGTTGCTACTATCTTCGCGGTAGAACGCCAACAAGAGTCCTTGCTAAAGGAATGTAATAACAGGTCTCCCTGTGGTCAGCGTCGAGGCTCTACAGTCCCTCGAGGCTCGCGGTGCCCTCATCACCAAAGGTAAAGGAGGAATTATTATGACTGAGATTACTGTAGGCTAACTGCGACAGACGTCATTGCTGCAGGCGAGGCCAAGGCCCCCGAGGAGAGCTCGCTCGAAGCCAGAGGTACTCACCTTACACTCACCACGTAGGAACTTATCACTGACACACTTCTCAGTGTGGCCCGCCTCTCATCAGAGCGATCACTTCAAGGCCGGAAACGGATATCTCCACAGGATCAAGACTCGCATCATCGTCAGCGGAGTCCACCTCGTGGTCACTGCCTGGTTCAACGATATCCACACCTTGTTCGTGCAATTCGAGCCTGATTTCCCTAGTGGTACGTTCACACTTCACGAGTCTGAGTTTAGGAGAGCCGGGACTGACAGTTTGCGCAAGCTCCCAACTATTTGATGGCTGGTTTTGAGGATCTCGCTACCGGAGTGCTCAGACAGCCTTGGAGAATCGTCTGGGATAGTATTTACAGCCTCACTACGAAGGGCGGTGAGACCTTCCAGTTTGACAACGAGTTTGTCATGTGGTGGAAATGAGTCCATCTCTAGGATATCAAATCTCGACTGGGCTGAAGCATCAATGCGTTCCGTCCCCCTTGTGGGAGGCATCGGTTATGGTTTGATATGCACCACCGGACCGCCGAGGAAGATGCAGATAACTTTAGCCATTTGGCCTGGGGAGTGAAGTGGTGTGTGCTCGAATATGTTGCTTGTTTGCCTTTTTATATCTTCTTCTTTCTGGGTAGCCACCCGTAAGTGTTTGGCACTGGTCGCTCCAAGGGTTGGGCTCAACTCAGTCCTTGCTTCACGAGAACAAGAACTTCCGGATATCTGCTGCTAGATAAAGTCTTCTCTACTCAATTACAACATTCATACAGCCCTTGAAGGCACTGCTACTAAAATTTTGCCAACAATTATGACATGAATCAGGGAAAGCGGGTTTAGGTTCTAAAAACTTTCAAGATTTAGGCATCAACGCAGCAATTCCTCCCTTGCCTACTGCTTACTAGTATCAGTATGCCCACGAACTACCTTGAAGTCCTCAACGAAAGTAGGGAAGTCTTGATAAATTGGTTGAGATGTTCCCAGCCTAGTCACTTATGTTGCAACCAAAGTGAGAGCATGGCCAGTAACACGTTCCCTTGTGCAGTCCAAATTCACAAATCTCACGAGTTGACGCGGACTAAGGTGTTCGCACATGTATCAAAGACACCTTACCTAGTTATTCTTATGTAGCTTCCCATAATCAAACACTAGTATCAGATAGTTCAAACTTCTTGACTCCGAACGACGGGCCTGGACGATATTTGAAGTAGAGTATTGGACTCCCACCGGGCCAGGCCTTCACAAACAATCTCATAAATGCATGCATGTTGTTGATCTGTCACCATGCAGTTCATCAAAAAAGTGATCTTGGTCCACATTTAAAGCAAGGCCCCATCTTAGTCGCACTCAGCTCATGCACGTCGGGCCGTTCCTGGACAAGACTAAATTGACCTGCAGGAAAAAACATGACATTGCCGTGACCGCTAATCGATGATGAACGACAGCCTGCAAGTTGTGTTGGTAAAAGGGGCTAGGGTCGCATATCTCGTGCCTGTACTCGGGCCTCGCTGCCCGATATCGATACATCAGTTCCGGTTCCCTCTCCCTTTACCCAAGAGGTCTTCTCCACACCTCGTTTGACTCAACCTCATCTCCAAACACCAAGGCATCTTTGACTTTTCCGGCATTAAAATTCTTATCCCTTTCGAAGTACTTGTCTATTGCAGTTTGACGTCTATCATGAGGCGGATCATTTCTTATCGGCCATGCATTCTACTGGCCTTCTGTATGTTCGCGGCTGTGAGGGCCGACTGGTGGGACGACTTTTCGAACAACTTGGCCACCGACCTATCCCCTTTGCTCGCTCTATTTGGCGAACAGGTGACCAAGCAATTTCTTAGCGAATCACTTTCGCTTTGGGACAATTTTATCTTTGCGATGGCTCCTCTCGGAATCGTTACTGCCATTGTATCTGCCATTCGTGTCTGCGGCGGGCCGTCTTTACGCGCTTTCATCGGTCGAGCCCAAGAGGGAGGAGGCATTGCCGAGGCGGAGCTGTGTTCGTCTACGAGCCGGGACGTCTGCGAGCTATACCACAATGGCGCCATTGTTCGAGTGTTTGGTCGACCCAAAATTCTCGAAGTCGTACATGACATTGACCAGGCCGACTTCTCGTATGGAGTCAACGATCCGAAAAGACTCACACCACCAAAATGTGGCATCTACTTTTTCAAGGACTATATCAACGATGGGCTGGCTGAAAAGGCAGGATGGAAGGAAACGGGCTCTGTTGTCAACCCTCATGATGGTCGACCAAGAAACGGGTTCCGGAACGTGTGCAGAAGGCTCATGGGCCGTCATCGTCTTGGAAAGGACAATCTACACGACATGAATCAACAGCATACCGGCATGTTTGCACCGAACCCCAATTTATCTTTCAATATTGGCATCAAGAAATATCCTGTCTATGTATACTGGGCAGCAGCGGGTGTTGGGCTATTATCAGAAGCTGCCGTCGTTGTGTACGGCGCATTTGCTACATACCACCTGCGGTACAAAAAGGATGACGCGCTACCACATGCTTGGGCATTCCCTTTCATGGCTTTGGGAACGGTGATTTTGTCTTTGGGCATGTTCTGTTGCGCATTCTTGGTGGAACGGAGTACTCAAGAACGGATCTTTCGAAAGTTTCCGCAAAATTCGGCCAAGCCTTCGTCCGCAAGCTTGTACATCACACAACCAGGAAACCAGACAATTGGGGACCAAACATATGACGCTTTCGCCTTCTCAGACTCGTTAGAGGAGCTTAAAGAGTATATCACGTCATGGAAGCTTCCGCGACAGTCTGACGAGCAGCGCATGGGCGTCTGGTTTGCCGCGGGGGCAACGATGCTCGGCTTCATCTTTCAGTTCATTGGTCTTAGAGGCTTGCATTCATCGGTTTCTATCGTACTGCTAGGTGCTATAGTGATCATGAGTATCGTTCGCTCGTCACTGAGGACAGGACGGCTCAAGCAAGAACGGAATTTGCTCTACAACCGTCCAGAAGAAATCGAGGGCCATGAGCTGGACTGGCTTGCAATGCAAATGAGCATCAGGAAAGCCCCCCATCAGAAAAGGGAAGAAGAAAAGGAATCCAGAATGTTTTGGACGATCATCCCGAGTTCAGAATCTCATACATGTCGGGACTCGGAGATCCTGGGAGATATGATGAATCAAATTCCTCCCGACGAGGCGGTATCGCGCAGTGAAGGCGCAACTATCCGAAATGCAATACCTATCAAAGAAATAGGAACCGAAAGTGGAGGTATCTACGCTTTCTGCAATAGCCGGGAAGACGGTATGTCCAGGGAAATCGAATCATCAAATATAGAAATGAGACAGGCGGAGGCCAAATGGCTATCACAAATGCAATCCGCTGCTGAGCCAAGGAAGAAGACAGACTCGCATACGAGGCCACATTTAGCCAGAGAGCTATTCTATCACCGATCTCGCCTCGCTGAACTGACTACTCACTCAACCGCCACGAAGTCAAGGTCATCCGCAGAGTGGGATGATCGACTGGTCCCCTTGCGGAACCAGGTTCGGCAACTGAAAACGGCGATCGAATCCTGTACTCGAGTTCTTTTCCCAAACCTGAAGCCCGCGTGGAAACATGCAAGATCGCTTGCATGGAGTCTCAATGTGGCAGTACCTCCACATCACAACGCCTCAACTCCCGAATGTTATTCCGACCCCGACTATGCCAAAGCCCACAAAGTCCAAATTTCGTTCGTCAGTCCAGTATGGATGGCAACCAACAACTTAATAAATGGGAAGTAGATCCGCACTCCCTCGAAGCAGTTCTTGGGCTTTGGGTTTGGTCGATTGTATCGAATCCCATCACCGAGTTATCAGACGCTCAGGATTGCAAATTATCCGGTGCATCTGAAGCGTCAATGTATCGGATTCTTGCGTTAGGGTCTTCTGAAGAAGATGTAAAGTCCTCTGAAAGAACTTTCAAGTACTGGACGAAAGATTTCCCAGAATCTTTATCAACAACGCGATGGTCATCGACGCCGTCCATCCACGAACAGAATGCGAATACTCTTTGGGATTCTAATGGTACCCATAAAACTTTGTCTCCCATGACTTATGCTAGGATTCCTTCCGACCAGATGATCCGACTCTTTGGCTGGACAAGCGCCGCACTCTCAAACAAATCCAGCGCCCCTCAAGCCTATGCGTTGATCACAGGTTCTCAACGATCGATCCACAGCATTTGTGCTCAAGACATTTGCCAATCTTTCATCAGCGAAATGGCAACGATATTGGGCAGTATAGAAGAAAATACTCATGCGGTTGAAGAAAATGGCGGCTTTTTTTTAGCCAATGACTTCGTTGCAAAGCTAGTTGACTCGATCCAGGAGAGTGGCCTTGCTTCACGACAGGATGCCTACTTAATGGTCATCCCGGCCCTGAGCCGTCACTCCAAGCTGCCCTTACCAGCATATATAATCCCCAAAGTCTACGTCAAGGCTAGACAGAGGAGACTGGCGGGCGGATATGAAGATGCCGAGTCAATGTTAAGATGGGCTTGGGATATCGGGCTCACAGTAGAGAAGCAACAAAGTGCCACAAGCCTCGCATCTACTGCACTGGAGCTAGGAGAACTTTATCGCTCTGCGTATCGGGAGGGACTGCTTATGCAACACGTCAAAGAACCTCCCCAACCGTTTTCGGTGAGGTTTTATTACGAGCCAAGACAAGACACTCTCGAAGAGTTCGGTCGCCGAGGAATTCATTGGCTGTCAGAAACAAGATCAACGACAATGAGTCACGCGATCGTCGATGTCATAGAGAGATACGTCAGATTCGGGGAGAGATGGCGCAAGGAATCACCCAAGGTAGCCTCAACGACCAATGCTGTTCTGCGATCAATAATCAAGGGCGACCGAGACCAATGTCTCTTCGAGATCAGTCGAGTTGAAAGCATTTTGACTCCAAAAGAAGAGACTCCAGAAGCAGAGACTTCAGAAGAGCAAGTTTCAGAAGAAGAACGCGCAATGGGTATTATCTCTTGGGCTGCCAGGCAGGGCTGGTCCGAAATTATCAACACATGCTTAGACGTCGGCTCAATTGTAGACTCTTTGGACAATTCGCACCGCACACCACTGAGCTATGCCGCAGAACACGGACATAGAGACATTGTGTTGCTACTGCTGGAGCATCAAGGACTTCCTGCAACGAAAGATATAGACTGGAGAACGCCTCTGTCGTACGCCTCGCAGAACGGCCACGATGCAGTTGTCAAAGTTCTGTTGGCTGATCAACGAGTAACCACTGAAACCAAGGATAAGGACGGATGGCTACCTCTTCACTGGGCAGCGGCAGGTGGTCATTGTGACACCATCGCAAGCTTGTGTCATCGGAAAGCGGATGTTGACGACACTGACTTGAAAGAGAGAACACCCTTTGTGGTTGCCTTGGAGAATGCTCAGGAACAAGCAGCGCGGCTGCTGATAAAGTTTGGGGCAACATGGGATTTTAAGGTCGAAAACCGAAAAGCTTGGAGAACTGCTTTCCGCAAAGGAATGCTTTCATATGGCAACGAGCTTTTGAGACTCTCAAATGAGAAAAGCATGAACGCTCTATTCGGAACGGGAGAGAACATTTCGGCATCTTTACTATTGCAACCTGCGTTTGACAACTCATCATCCTCATCGCTATTGTCTTATCAGGAGGTGCAACCTAACATTTCGTTACTTAACTGGCAAGGAAGTCACGGAATCGATATAATAGAAATGAATCATGACGGTCTTCAACATTACGCAACTGCAAGCACGCTCTCAAAGGTCGTGAGCGGCCAACTCGTGGCCTCAGTTTGGATTTTGGTAAACCAAAACGGGGAGTCAATCAACCAGGAACGACTTCCCGTTGAGACTGAGATTGAGGGTCCTCTCACTGAAATTTTCTGGGATCTATTTGAGCCAGATGCTATGTTTCTAGCAGACCTGGTTTTGAAAGCGGCGCAAAATCCGTTCACGTCTCTACCACTGAAAGTACTGCTAGAAAGGGCAGGAGCTAAAGTAGAGATCACCAACGAAATGGCTGAAGCAACCGTAGTACCAGAGACCTCTTCTAGTGCAGCAAAGCTAGATTCATTGCTCCAAATACGCCAGGAGTTCGATGTCACTTCCGACTTTGTCGAGGCAGCTGTAAAAAGCACGTCTCGCACTGGTGACCTCGTAGAGGTCCTGCTCCGACGGAGACCTAACTCCATCGTCATTACCGAGAACGTCATGAAGGCACTGGTGAGAGGCCCAGGATCACCGGAGAAAACCGAAGCACTGGATTCCTTGCTACGAGAACGAGCAGAAGACGTTATAATAACAAACGCAGTTTTGAAGGAAGCTGCTGCGAACGAATCATCCCTGGGACCTAGCTTATTGAAAAAACTTCTCAGCAGCGTACCAGAAGACTTCGTCGTAACAGAAGAGGTTATTGAAGCCGCTATCAGTCACGAAATCGATTCTGAGATAGCATCGAACGTACCGGAATTAGTGCCCATCCTACTTCGCCAACGAAGCTTGAAGGTCAATCTCACTCCTCTGTTTCTGGGAAAGGTAGTGGATAATCTTGGAGCACATAACGAGTCTATCAAAGATACGATAGAAGCCTTGGACTCCACATTCTACGCATTTGATGCCATGCATGGTCTTTATGTAGACGTCAACTACATCCTGGAGGAACTACTCGACCGAGCGACGGCAGGCTTCAATATGACTGATGACCATCTAAGAGCCGCAGTGCAAAGCAGATACTGCAGCCTCAAATTGGTCTCTAAGCTCTTGGAGCGGAGAGAAGCAGGGATTGACGAGAAAGTCGCAATCGAGCTTTCTGAAGTAGCTTCGGGCTTGTGGGATGGCGGCGACTCCCTTGCCGAATTGATCGCAACCCACAACTCTTCCCGATAAAGTTTTGCTTGTTCGGCGAAAAACCCCAGAATTCATAGAACAGTCACTGCAACCTAATTCACTCCTTTACGCATGTGTTACAGAGAACGCCTTGCTCAGTAGATGCTATGAAATTTGACAGTGTTTAGCCTAGAAACCTCCTAGTTTGGAAGACAGCTGCTCTGATGTACCAGGTAGGTGAATAGTGAGAAGTTGAAGGGCTATTACATAGTCTTCGACCCTACCACAAGATGCTCAACACCCTGTCATTCCCTCTTTTTCCATGCTGTTAACCCTTCTGCCCCATTCGTACGCCCTACTTCGGATATCCTAGGTCATTAGCGCGGCAACAGATAAGGGAACCCATCGGCAGTGTCGCCTGCTTTTTCGTACAGATGGAGTTAACATCCCCTCCACTGCTACTGATACTCTGGCGTCAGTCACGGTTCGAAACGACACGAACGACAATAATGGTGCCTTGAACGGTGCTAGTCGAGGCGGGGGCCGGACAAGCTTTCTTCTCATGACTCTGGGAGTAGTTATATAAGCGTCAGCCGGGGAGAGACCGCAGGGTTCGCGCAGGGTCAGGCGAGCTGCGGTCTTAGGCAAGTCACCTTCCTCAAGAGCTATCTGACGCCCATATTCGAGGGTCAACGTCACACCTCACGGTGCGTCAGTCGATTACCTCTAATCTTCAAGGCCTAGCAGTGTTATTGCTTATGCAGGATCAAGATTGAGCACACGGAGAAAAGGCTCCCATTCCTCAACACCAAAGTCATACTTCTACATATACCAACAATTAATACATCCCGAGCCATGCAATTGCAGCCGCCCGTTGACGCCGCATCTTCTCTTCATTGTGGGGGGGGTAAAATAACATCATCTTAAGCCTCGTCGTAATCTTCCCTCCATAGAAGTCGTCGCTTGGAAATAGCAAAGCGCGCAAAAGGAGGGGGGTGGGAAGGGCGCCGCTTTTCAGCTTTCCTTCCCACCACCAGTCGTGGAACTGATCCAGTACCCCTCCCTCCAATCATGACAAAAAAACAAGTCTATTATACCTCCTCTGCAGCAACGGACTCGTAGCCGCCTGCCCTCCTCCGGCCTCTGCTCATGTTCATCAGGGTCGGGCTCTCGTACATGGCGGTGTAGTTGACAGGCTCGCCACCCAGCATGGCAGAACCATTCTCGCGTTGGCCAAACGTGGGTGCGGGATCGCACCAGAAGTCGCGGCAGTTGGCCATGCAGCCGTTGGAGTAGGGGTTCTTCTTTCTCCGCTTGTTCTGGGTTGCGGCGCCGCGACCGCGGATGGTCTCGATGAAGGGGTCCACACCGAGGAGACGAGACCATTGCTGAAGACGGCCGCCCTTGTGCTTGTGACCGTGGGCGTGGGCGCCAGCAGATTCCGGAGGGGTCAAGGACGGGTGGTTCGGGTCGAGAGGGGTGCCTGTTGAGGTGAAGGCGGTAGTGAGAGACCCGTCTTGGATGCCAAACATATTTTCGTAGGTAGTCATTGCGCGAGAGACTTGGACAAATTGCACGAACAGCAGCATACCAACCCAGGTAAGCTGCAGAGTTGTCCACACGGTGAGGATGGCCGTGTAGCCATCGGCGTTGACAACCTTGCAGAGGCTGGGGCTAAGGAAGTTGCAGGTTTCTGAGACCTTGTCCGAGATGTCTGTGAAGTCTGCGCCGTTGGTGTTAGCGCCGAAGTAGAGCTTGGAGGACTGATACTTACAGTAGTAGACGAGGAAATCGTAGGAAATGATGCCCAACGTCAAGCTGATGAGGTACATGAAGAAGTGACGGTGGTTGTTGATACCGACGCAGTTATAGACCCAAGGGCAGTGACTAATCTGGTTAGCGAGGTTCTGCATAAGAGACAAAAGGTCCACTCACTGGTCGTGTTTTGCGACGCACTTCTGGCACCGCTTGCAGTGCTTACTGCGGAGAGGTGTCCGGATCATGCACGTAACACAGAAGTTTGTCTCATCAAACTTCCACTCCTTGAGCAGCTCGTCAATGACGGCCTTTTGCTCGGCAATGCCGTTCATCTTGGGAACAAATCCGGGGTCGTATCGCATGGCGGCGCTGTAGAAATAGGCACAGAGACCAAAGAATACGCCAAAGATCAGATTGAGCCACCAGTGAGATTGAGTGCCAGCTATATGTTATTAGCAAAACGCCCGGCTCATATTTCTGATGAAACTTACCAGCTGAACCGGTAGTCGCGGGGAGAATGGTGGTCAACCACCTCAGACCGACCAAAAACAAAGATGCAGAGAAGATACCAGCCAACCAGGGCTACACTTGTCAGTCCAGATCATCACAATGCTATTTAGGGGACTTACAGTCTTGTGGAAGTGTCTCATGTCGGGAGGCGCAAACTCGATGACCTGTTGAGCACACCATTGAAGCGCATAACCAACGACTAGAGAGAAGAAGACGCCGGCAAACACGTTCATGCTTCCCAGTATCGTAATCATGGACCAAACCAATAGGAAGGGCCACAAGAACAAGAACTTGGTCACGAAACCCCTCTTATCCTGGCGGAGGAAGCGCGAACCAGGAAAGCTGGGCTCAATCGGCTGTCCATCTTCATCATAACCGCACTCCTTAAGAGCTCGATGCCATGCGCCGGTCGTGTTAAGCTCCTTAGCTGTGACAGCGGGCGTCTTGCCGGTCTGCGTCTTTGCGAATCGATCCGCCCCGTACTCGAGGAGCCTCTGTATACAGGCCGGGGAGCCCTTGACTAACGCCCAGTGAAGCGCGGTGAAGCCCTGCTCGTCCGTGGTGTGGATGCTAGCGCCCCAGCGGAGGAAGAGGTCCACGCATTGGGGGAACCCCTTGTAGGCGGACCACATAAGCGCCGTGTGACCGTAACTATCGAGCACGTCTACGGGGATGCCTTGGTGGAGCAGGAGGACGAGGAGGAGGGTGTTGCCGTTGAAGGTCGAGATGTGGAGGGTGTTGTAGCCCTGGGCGTCGGTGATGAGGGGGTCGGCTCCGTGTTGGAGGAGGAGGTTGACGGTATAGTAGTGACATCTCTGGGCGGCCCATTGGAGAGGTGTTGCGATGGACTCGCCTCCCTTCTTGTTGATCTCTGCGCTATTGTCGATGAGGAACTTGCACATGGCATACTGGTTGTTGATAGCTGCCCACTGAGATGTGTTAGCACGATGAGATCAGACCCGGGCTGCTACAAAGCTTGGAAGGCCTTGAAAGAGGTGGCACGCAACGTACATGCAAGGGTGTGATGCCTTCATCATCGGTGAAGGTCGCATCGTACTCGCCCGACTCGAAGAGCTTCTCCATGGCCGGAACGTCTCCTACACGCGCAACCTGCATAATGTCGTTCTCCGCGCTAGGCGCATCACCGCCGATGCTTCCCATCTCCAGCTCATTATTCAGTGTGGGCGCGGCGGCGCTCGTCTTGTTTGCAGGTTGATTCGGGGCTACGGACGCCGCGGCGGCGGCAGCGGCCGGCGTGGTAGATTTGTCCATCGAAGTCGGCGGGTCGGCGGTCGCGGGAAGGCCAAGCCTTTCTTTCGATGTCTCGGATTGAGAAAGGTGACGGTCGATTATCGATTGGGTAGAGCTGTGACGGGTGGGAAAGGGAAGAGTATTATTTTGTTCGGGGAGTTTAAACTTCGGCTCGAACCTAGCGTCGCATTACTTAAGGTAAGGGGATGGATGGATGGATGGATGGATGCGGTCCAGGCGAAAGAATTGAGACGGGGGGCTCGCACGCGCGCAACGGTGGACAGGGGTGTCACCAACAAACGAGAGATTGATGATAAAAAACACCGAGTGGAAACAAAAAGAGAAAAAAAGGTGCCACAGTTGGAAGGAGGACGGAAAAGACGCCCGGAAGCCAAGAGTGACGAGATTGCGTGTCGTCAGCTTTGGCAGAGCTCGGCAGCGTTGGCAAGCGTTGACGACTGGGGAATTTCAAGGTGAGCACCGAGTGCAGTGAGTGGAAAGGGATCGCCGGGAGACCCTCCCCCCCTAAATCGGACTAGCGAGGCTGAGCTGACAAAGGCGGGTCGACCACTGCTGCAGTCGTCTGCCGTGATAGCCGTGATTGGCTGGGAGGGACTCAGCGCCCCAAAGCTTGGCATAAACTGCCAGTGACACCCATGCTTAGCCTCACCTTAGAGGTTAGGGCGGATTCCTCGGCCTCCTCAGCCTCGTCCGAAAAAAGCGGGTAAACTGTGGCTGAATCTCCGAGGTGCACGTACCACCTGTCACTCCTGCCACTCCTGCCACTCTCCTGTCTTTTGCGCTCCGTTGGCGTTGGGGAAGGAAAGAGCTCCACTGACGGCATTTGGCGATTTCTTCTGGAAATCTGTCAACGACCACCCGACACGACTCACACCATCCAACCCCTCCACCCCTAGTCAGCCGTTTCGCGCAGGGTATCCGGGGACAATCTCTCTCAACACGCCCGACAATTCTCACCATCGCCAGCAACAGCGAAATCGCAATCATGGCCGACAAGATGGGCTCCTTCACAGAGTTCCTCGAATTCATCATGACCCCCTCGACGCCAGTCATCCTCATCGGCGCCGCCATCGTCCTCCTCTTCCCCATCCTCCTCCACTACATCCTCATCAAGTCAACACCCTACACAACCCTCCCCTCCGTCCTCCTCCTCGGCCCCGCCGGCGCAGGCAAGACTGCCCTCCTCACCCTCTTCGAACGAGGCGACGCCCCCGCGACAACCCACACGAGCCAGCGCCCGCAAACCGTCGAGCTCACGGCCTCGCGCGACAGCAAGACGGCCCAGAGCTTCCGCAACCACGACGACACGAGCGGCACCCACACAAAGTTCCTCCTCGTCGACACACCAGGCCACGGCAAGCTCCGCAACTACGCCCTCGGCAAACTCGCCAGCGGCGCCGGCGGCAGCGGCAGCAGCAGCAAGAACTCAAAGCTCAAGGCTATTGTCTTCATGGTTGACGCCGCCGCCATTGGCGAGAACGAGGCTCTCGCGCCCACAGCGAGCTACCTCTACGAAGTCCTCCTCGGTCTCCAGAAGCGCGCCGCCTCAAGCAAGTCGTCCAAGCCGCCCCCGCCTATCCCCGTCCTCGTCGCCGCCAACAAGACGGATCTCTTCACGGCGCTGCCTGGGGCGCTGGTCAAGTCGAACCTCGAGGCTGAGATTACGCGGATACGGTCGTCGCGCAGCAAGGGTCTTTTGGATTCAGGCGTCGGCATTGATGATGTCGGATCGGAGGAGCACGATGATTGGTTGGGCGCGTATGGTACGGAGAAGTTCACGTTCGACCAGCTGCGCGAGTTCGATGTGGATGTCGACGTTATTGCGGGCAATGTTACTGGAAGTGCGACGGGCCCCGATAAGTGGTGGTCCTGGATCGCCCAGCGGATATAATGAGTGATGCAGCAGTAAAGGGCATATACTAATACAAAACACATAATTGTTATGTTGATGACAAAAGTTATTTCGATGACCGAAAGATTGCGCAAAAAACTGTGTGGTTGTGATTCTATCCTTATAGGATCAGACTGGGCTGCCCTGTTCTCTATGTAGATGTTGAGTCTACTCCCATCCCAAGATTTCCAAGCAAAATGCTGCCAACCGGGGTCAGTTGATGCGACCCAAGAGTTGCCCCTGCCACCTTTGCTATGCCCGCTTTCAAAACGCCGATACCCAGGTTTTAAAAAAAAAAGCAACATCATCTGCATCCTCATGCGTAGTCTTGATACTCTATATAAGTCAAGTCGTGGTTTTTTAATCATATCGTAGGAAAAGGGGGAAAGCATCTAGGCCTTCTTGTTGACTACCCAGGTGAGCAAATCGACCTTTGTGACGACAGCCACGGGCTTGGACAGGTTCTTGGTGCCCTCGGCCTTCTCGGTGACGACAGCAGCACTGTTCCACTCGAGGAACTTGCTGAGGGTGGAGAGAGGGGTGTCGAGGGTGATCTCGACAAAGTTGCGCTTCTTCTTGCTCTTCTCGCCCGTCTCGCCAGCCTGTCTGGGATCCGTGACGACCTCATCGAAGCGGCCAAAGTCAAACATGACGTCGCTGACGGGGCTGGAGCCCGTGGCGCGGCCCGAAGAGATGTAGCTGAGCAGGTTACCGAGCGTGACGAGACCGACGAGCTTGTGGCCGCTCGCGGACAGGACGGGGAGCTGGTCGAAGCCCTTGTCGCGCATGATCTCCGACGCCTCGGAGCAGGGGCTGGTCGCGGGGACGGACATGACGGGCTTGAGACGGAGAGCGCTGACGGTAGCGCCCTCATAGGGGTCAACGTAGCCCTTTGCGCTGGTGGCGTTGCCGTTGGCGGTGGCCTGGGTCTCGAGGCCGTTGACCTCGGGGAGGAGGTCGTTTGCGGCGAGCCAGTCATCGTCGGCGAACTTGGAGAGGTAGGAGCGGATGCTGTCGGGGAGAACGACGACGACGGTCTGGCCCTTTCCGAGGCCGAGGTCCTTGACGGCGCGGACCATGGCGGCCATGGCGGAGCCGGAGCTGCCACCGACGAGAAGACCCTCCTCGGCGATGAGGCGTCTTGCGAGCTGGAAGGACTCGCGGTCCTCAGTCTTGTACCACTTGTCGACGAGGTCGCGGGAGAGAACGTCGGGGATGAAGTCGTAGCCGATACCCTCGACCTTGTACCCCTCGTTCTCGTGCTCCTTGTTCAGCGACTCGGGCAGGGCGAGGATACTGCCGTGGGGGTCGGCAGCGATGATCTTGACGTCCTTGTTGTGCTTCTTCAAGCCGCGGGCGATGCCGGAAATGGTACCTCCCGTGCCGGCGCCGGCGACGAGAGCATCGATCTTGCCGCCCGTCTGGGCCCAGATCTCCTCGGCGGTGCCGAACTCGTGGGCGAGCGGGTTGTCGAGGTTGCCGTACTGGTCGAGGATGTGGGCGTTGGGGATCTCCTTCTCGAGGCGGCGGGCGACGCCAATGTGCGACTCGGGGCTGTCCCAGGCGGCTTGGGTCGGGGTGCGGATAATGGTGGCGCCAAGGGCACGGAGGACAGAGACCTTTTCGGCGGACATCTTCTCGGGGAGAGTGATGATCGTCTTGTAGCCCTTGATGGCACCAACGAGGGCCAGGCCGATACCACTATTCAATGTTAACCGTGAAATTTGGTCATTGTAAGCTTCGTTGGGACATACGTGTTTCCACTGGTGGGCTCGATGAGGGTGTCACCGGGCTTGATGCGGCCAGTTCGCTCGGCCTCCTCAATCATGCGCAGGGCGATTCTGTCTTTGACACTGCCGCCGGCATTGAAGAGCTCGACCTTGGCGTAGACCTCGCACTCGATGCCCAGGCTCTGAGGAATCTTGTTGAGGCGAACCAGAGGCGTGTTGCCGATGAGCTCGGTGGCCGACTTTGCGGTGACAGCCACACGGGTGGCGTTGATGGCACTGGCGTCTCCCATGATTGCGATTGGGATGGGTATTATGTGGTTGCTTGTAGGAGGTAGAGGAAAAGAGAAGGAAGAGGGGAGGAAGGGAAGAAAAGGAGAGAGAAGTGTAAGAATGAAAGTCAGTCCACGGGCTATAGATATGCAAGTGGTAAGAAAAGAGAAACGCAATCGTCGTGGAGGGATGGTGCGAGAATTGAGACGGAGCGAGGGAGAGCACAGGAAGCGGGAGTGAAAAATGACCCCGCCAACGCCGAAGATATCCGCCCACCTACCAAAAATGGTCACTTTCCCACCCCTCTGCTACGTTGAGGTACCTTACCTTGCCGAGCTTACCTAAGATACTTGGCCATACAGGTAGGTACCCAACACGCTGTTCAGTACCACTGTGTCAGTGCAGCAGCACCAACGAGTGACTTGACAGCCCCGCGACAGTGCAACGCAGCGACACAGGGTCCGGGCCTTACAGCAGCTTTGCGGCGAACGGCGGCGGTAAAGACCCCCCCCCCCCCACACGATACACTCCGGTGGCACGCTTGTCTCTCCTACTTACGTAAGGCAGTCTAAAAAAGCCCGGCCGGTGAAGTTTCTGCTTTCTTTTTTTCCTATCACTTTGGTGTCGTTCTAGAAATTTTCTGACGCTGCAGGTCGGGCCATTTCCAGTTGTCATTATGTCATCCCGAGCTGACTTTGAATCCCCGTCACTCGGCGTTCCCCGAGTTTTTTTGCTTCATCCGAGGCACGTGGACTTTCCCAGTGCATTCTATTCATTCTCTGACTCGAGACTGCATAAGTGCAGTTCCGCATCTTGAATCTTGAAAAGTGGCCGACGCACACTTATAAACTTGGGTTACCTTATCGGAGCATGTCCAGCTGTCGTGCGTCTCGGCCGGGTCGGCGTCACATCTCGGCCGAAATGGCAGATGTTTCCACTTGCGTCTATCTCAACTCCACGCACCCATGAACAACATGAGCATTGATGGATCATCGTGAATATACGTGAATATTGATGGCAATCTATCCTTCTCGAATTGCATGAATGAAGATGAGACACAGCACCTCAGTCGACGTAAGTGTATTCGTCCGGAATCCGGCCGAAAAGCCAGCCACAAAATCCTTCTCAGCAAGCCACCAGAGCGAAACAGCATTACCTAAGCGTAATAAGCATTGTTCATCCGGCCGTGGTGGCCCGCGATAGAACATGTTGACCCCGTGTAAGTCAGTAAGACCAGCTAGCTTCAGGATGAGTAGAATGTGATCAGGATATATAAGGTCACTATCCATCCTCATCACCTGTGTAAAATCATCCCCAATTCTCAAATGTCTCAGTCATGATGGAACTTTCAAACACCATAACATCGAAGAAACTCATCGTCATCCTTGGGGGCTCCTATGGTGGGATCTCTACAGCTCACTACCTTCTCAAACATGCCATCCCAGTTCTACCAAATACAAAAGGCTACAAGGTTGTTCTCGTCAGTCCCTCAGCACAAGTCATGTGCCGGCCTGCATGCCCCCGCGCACTGATATCTGACGACATGTTTCCCCAAGACAAGCTCTTCGTCGACATACCCAGTATTTTCAAGCAGTATGACAGTGAAAACTTCCTCTTCATTCAAGGAGCCGCAACGAATCTCAATCACGGTGAGAGAGCGGTCTCCGTCACCCAGAAAGGCAGCAGCGGCACAATCGTTCTTTCTTACTACGCTCTGGTGATTGTCACAGGCGCATCTACTCCCTCGCCCCTTCTCGGCCTCAATGAAGACTCTGAGAGTCTACGAAAGAGCTGGCGAGAGATTCGCAAGCGCTTGCCGCAGGCCAAGAGCATAGTGGTTGTAGGCGGAGGTCCAGCGGGTGTCGAGACAGCCGGCGAGCTGGGCGAGCATTTGAACGGCCGAAAGTCGCAACGCCCAAAAGTTCCTATTACCCTGGTCTCATCTGCACCTGAAATTCTTCCCGCCCTTCGCCCTGCTATCGCCCGCAAGGTAGAAGACTACCTTGCTCAGGTGGGAGTCACTGTGCTGAAAGGGGTTCGGGTGAAGGACGTGATGCCGGCCGAAGCTGGGATCACGGGAGTCACGACAAATGTCAAGGTCATTCTAGACAGTGGGAAGACGATTGAGACTGATCTTTACATCCCCGCAACTGGCACACGACCGAACACGAGCTTCATCGACAACGCGCTGCTGCTCTCCGATAGACGAGTCAATACCAACTCCCTAACCCTTCGCGTCGATTCAGCTGGACCCCGCGTCTACGCCATTGGCGACGCATCCTCGTTTGCCAGGCCAGCAATTCACAATATCCTTAGTGCTGTCCCGGTCATGTGCGCCAACATCAAACGGGACCTACTACTGGCTTCCGATAGACCGGAGAGCGCCAGTGACAAGGATAGACTCTTCGAGGAGGACGTCCGCGAAACTCAGTTGGTTCCGGTGGGGAAGAGCAAGGGAGTCGGGGCTGCGATGGGATATCAGCTGCCCAGCTTCATGGTGTGGATGATCAAGGGTCGGGATTATTGGTTGTGGACGACGGGGAATCTTTGGAGTGGGAAGCAGTGGGCTAAGGAGTCTTGATTGCTATATCATGATCGCATTCATGATGTTTCTTCTTTTCATTTTTTTTTTTTTTTTTAATAAATAGGTCCCTGTTTGAAATGAATATTAGCTCTGATACTGGCCGAAAGATTGAGTGGCAATCTCCCAGATCTCTCTCTCTCTCCTCATATCTACCATGTGTCACACTGGTCTAGATTTCACAATCATTGTAAGATGTCCGATTGCAAGCATGCCCTTCTCATGAGTAAAGTGTTTGAGTAACATTCTAACCAGAATGAAACTGAGACATCTCCCACGTTCAAGATGTCATGAGTGCGGTAGTGAACATACATGGCTTGCATACAAGATAGTGCGGTGCTACTGCTAACGCTCTCATCAAAGTCCTAACACAAGTGGTCGAGGTAGTCTAGATCACCGGGGCGGACTTGGCAACGTTTTGCTAAAGATATCAATCAAAGATGTTTATGAGTCTGCGGTCCATCTTCAAACGGCCAAAGTCTTGGATGAGCGCACCTACGTTCCTACCGTGGTGTGGAATACCTTTAGCATGATGTTCTGCTCACAAAGTCACTTCCTTGGCCATTGATCTAAAAATCTCAATGATAAGCCCCGATCGACTCTTGCAGTCCCTTCCTTCCTTTGTTAGAGATCAGAAGCTAGACATTGGTCAGAAGTTCACGTGATTGCCTTGCTGTGATAGGTGAAGAAGGCGTCAGGGGCCTGAGGCGGAAAAGGAGAAGGCATCGTGAGGTCGTTCTGTGACTATGGAGGCGGTTGGTCGGATACTCATCTGATCCCACACAAGTGAATCTTCTCTCTATTCCCTCCACCTCAAAATTCACAATCTCAAACACTTCCCAACCTCACAACCCACAATCTTTCCGCACCCCAACCATCAAGATGCAGATCAAGAACATATCCCTCCTCTCTCTTGCCGCCGTAGCTGCCAAGGTATTTTTTCCGCAATACTTTTTCTTTACAAGCAGCTATGAACGCCGACTGACGCTCGGATTCACAGGGTGCCACTGTTGACAAGGACGCCAATGGCCCCATGGGTGTCAATAGCTTCGACCTCATGACCATTGAGTGGGAAGTCCATGCTCACCCCGGCGGCGAGAACCTCATCCTGACCGGCACCGTCGAGGAGATCCTCAAGGAGCTCCGCACCATCAACCCCAACTACGACCAGGACTTTCGCATCACCACCCTCTCCTCCCCCGAGTCCGTCGACGCCGCCATCGAGTCCGCCGTCACCCAGGCCGACGATACTTTCAAGGACGCTCCCGTCGACTGCGCCGGCTATGACGACGCTGACCGCAAGCGCCTTGCTCATGGTGCTGGCTACCTTCTCGACGTCAAGGGCAAGCCCATCCGCGGCCCTGGCCCCGGTAGCTGTGGTCGTGTCAGCTGCAGCTGGAACTCTGCCATCTACTGGTGCAACATGGTGAGTGGATGATTCTTTCCAGTGCTTTGTGATATCAAGAATGAGACTGACAATGTGGGAATGATATAGGGTAGCAAGGAGAAGACTCTCAATTCCTTCAGAGAGATCTCCGATGGTGCCTACTACGTCATTGAGAAGTGCTATCGTGGTGTTGGCACTCTCGTCAGCGGTCGCGCCTTCCACAAGGACAACTGGACTGTGATCGGTCGCTGGGATCGTTGCTAGATGGGTGTCAATGTTCTACCGTGCTTAATAAATCTAAAGTCAAGAGATGAATGAAGATTCAAGGTTCACGGCTCAATGGCGTCAATTTACGCCAGCTTGATCGCTTCTCGGTGCGTTTCGCAATCAATTTCAAGGAGGATGCTGGAATGACAAGTCACCACGGCTACTTAGAAAAGTACTCAAGAGGCATATAACGCTTTCAGTGATCACTTTGCATGTTTCCCACAATAGTCTCATAGCCAAAATTGTCATTTGAAACGTGCAATGACGTGCTTTGTATCTCCAACATCTCAACATCCGCCGGGCTACGAATCGTCTCTGAGTTTCAATCCGGCAGATAAATTAGGACAGGGTGGTAGGATCTCTGCTCCCTGAGGAACTTTCATGATTTGATCGTCGCTTTTGATAGAAAAAAGGTCCTTGCTCTCGAAGTCCTCCCTCATCTCGATACCCTTGCACTCACAAGTCAGGAGGAGTTTAAAATAAGGAGGTCCGTTCAGCAGTTCTTTGGTTAGTGCCACCAGTTTCTCGATGGCCCATCTCGCGTCGCCTCCAGGACCATCATAACGGCAGATTTCGTCGATGACGCAAACTATCTGCCTTCCTTCCGGGACCTTTAATACCAGTCTGGAGAACATCTTGCTCAGACCCGAAAGATCCAACTCGGCGATCTCATCCAGGTCGAATGTCCTATCGATGAAAGACAGGTCGCATTCAATCTTGTCAGTCATCATCGCGTCTAGAAGTTGACACACAAGGCTTGTCATCATTAATCTGGAGGAAAGATTGACTGGCTTATCAGGGTCTGTTCGATCCCACATTTGGGTATCATCAGCGCAGAACCAGCCAATGACGAAAGTCGGGATAACATCCTCTGTGTCCCGTTCGCTTGCTGAGAGTGTCATTATAGTGGCGGCCAATATTTTAGTCGTTGAGATCACTTCTCCGTAGTGCTCCCCGGCGGTAATCAGCAAGCGACGGGTTGCCTGTGTGTTTCTCCGAACGAATTTCCTGAAGAGATCGCTCCCGGTAATGAAGTCCCAAGTTCTTTTTTGGTCAACACTCAGCTTGGCCTCGTGGAACATCTTGTTTTTTTCCGCCTGCAGGGCCCAGGCCGGATTGCACATGAGATACCCAAATAATCTTTCCGCCATCGTTTCACCCTCTGGCTCTTCCGTCTTGGCGGTTGCTTCTACTCTGAAGTCTAGCTCATTCTGTTCCGAAACTGCCTGTTCCGGAGGCAAGTCTTCTGCCATGCCTGCCATATTGAAAGGCCATACTTGCGGCGGTGCGGAAGACCCTGAGAAGGCTTCGGGTGCCGTATCATCCATGCAGACAGTCGAGTAGCGGGACTTCATATCGCTCAAGTAATACTGCGCGTGGTTGACTTGTGATTGGCACTTATCGTGCCTATTGGCGTCTTGTTCCATACTGAAAACTCATGCAAATGACCGAGAGGCATTAGTCCCAAATCAAGCCGTACGAGGTGTTTCGTTGATCGTGCTTAGTGCTTCTCAGAAAGAGAGGGGAATTGAGGAGTAAGAGGAAGACGGATCGTCGTCTCAGACCCCCAGAGCACTTCTTCTCTGCTCATTTATGACAGAGCCCCGGTGTATAGCACGCCAAGACAATCGAATAAAGAAGGCTGAACAGAGTTTCAGAGGTGAGCGAAGACAGTGGCACGGACAAAGAGAACTGAACACAGAGAGTCACCATGACAGGATAAACCAGGCAAAACCGACAAGCCAAACATCTACATCCAAGAAGTGTCTTCGATTTCAGTTCAATGACATTGGGGCAGTTCAGGAGTCTGTACTTGGCCTTTTCCGACTTTCGCCTGCAAATCCTGAAATGTTGCTTGACAAAGGTGTTTACCAACCGACTGAACTGAGTTAGCCAAGCGCGACCTCGGAAATTCAAAAGAGTCAAACGATCTGAAAGTTGCTGTTCCATTTCTTCCAAGGATCAAAAACCTGAGTTGGAGCTGGCTAGGATGAAAGATCAATAGCACTGGCACCCGCGTCTGCCAATGCCTGGCATCTCTAGGCCGTGGCTGCTAATCACGCCTCCTTGGTACCACAGCTAACCATACTGGGACATGATAGACTTCGTTCTCGGCTGTTCAGATGAGCTTATGTCTAACAGATCTTTTTTCACTGCCGGAATCTAGATTACTTAGTTACTTTTAGGGGAGAGCGGGTGGAAATATGATGCGGCCAATCTATGAGTATACCTTTCGGGCCCGTCCGTATATCTACTACCACTTTTACTACTACTTTAGGCCTTGCCGTGTCTCTCAAGACATGATTCTTAATTATTGAATGAGGAGCTTATTGCCTCGCGAGGGGAGGAAACATAGTGATAGTGATAGGAGTCATGAGAATAGTGGTGATGAGGGATCAAGTGGCAATTCAATCAACCGACAAGCAAAAAGGCAATCAATCAAAGCAATAAACTGCCCGAGGGCAATATGGCAATTAATCAACTGGAAGGCTGGATTTGTCTTGATTGCATTGAGTGAAGCGCTGGTGTCAAATCACTTCGTCACCTGCTTGAGAGAGCCTATCAAGGACATGAGGCTGGCTGATAATCTCTTTCCCATGCGCTCTTTATGATTGTAGCTTGGCCTAAACTCGACTTGAAACACGCTTGCACGACTATCATATTCCACGACGATCATTTAATATCTGTTGAGGCTTCTGTGTGGCAAACTATGCTATTGCAGATGCGGAACTATTCCCCATAATTTCAGTTCATATTGTCGAATTCGAGGAGCTGACCAACTAGGATATAATAAATACCTGGTACGATGAGGGAAAGACAAGTATGTATCCACAAGGCAGTTACATGCATTCTGTTTGGTCTGTGCCAACTCTCATAAGTGATACGACCATCAGTAAAGATATGATAAGAATGTAACTTCCAACTTGGCTAAGTAGATATTGTCAATATGAATATAGGATACATACCCGAAAGGCACTCCACTAGCACCAAACCATCAAACGCTTCCAACCACAGGCGTTGGCATTCTACCCCTCAACGATGTTATCCTCGAAGTATTTGCGATTGTCGAAGAACTTGTTGACCTGCGTAGCTTTGCTCTGGCATGTTAAAACGAGTTTGAATGCCACCGGCCGCCCCGACTGTATTTTTGCCAACGCTGACAGCTGATTCATAGAATAATCCGATTCCATGGAAAGGTGATCTGTCTCATATTGGTTGATCTCGTCGATCACACACATCACATCAGCTCCTGGGTCAAGATATATCATCAGGGCACTGAACAGCTCGCACAAGGCTTCGATCTCGCGGTTGATGAGGCGCTTAGCAAAGCCGGCCTCTCGCAATAATGAGCCTTTTAGCTCGTACTCGGGAAACTTCTTAGAAATCTCCCGCAAAAGCTGATTGATAAGGCTACACATCATTCCTCTTGGAGATTCCTGAAGTTTAATTTCATTCTCATTCGTTCGATCTGGGAAGGGAATGGAGCAGAACCATCTGATTGTGATGAGATTATTCTGGTACGCGTCATCGTCTTTATTCTTCCATTCCGCAGCCAGGTGGGACATTGGCGAGCTTTTGCCCGTCGGGAACTTTTGCGTTTGTGGTTCGAAATAGTCGGGGTTGGCTTTGGGGTCTTCTTTAAGGTTCACGAGAACCATGCCGCCCGTCGTTTTTCGCTGGAAGAGTGGTTGATTGAATGCTTCCTCTTGCAACTTCGTTGCTTTTCTCTTTCGTTCTTCTCTGATACCTTGCCATAGATCGCTACTAAAGGCATTTTGATTCCATGCTGAGCGTTCGTCCTCCAAAACTTTGCGGTATTCTGCCATTTCCTCTTTCGACTCCTCAGTTCCGAAAGGTAGCTCTATGCTGGAATTACCCGTCAATGTGTTGATAACGTTCGCCATGTTGGGAGGTGGAATAGATGGTTTTTGAGAAGTGAATTTACTATTGTCAACGACGTCAGTAGTGGCTGCGGTAAGTATTGAGGGTGTTTTTGGCATCTGACATGCAACGAAAAGGTGCACATTTATGTAAATCGCAAATCTGACTGTCCGAATGGGATGGTCTCCCGATCTGGACTAGAGTCAGTAAGAAAGCACTTCAACAGTGGAGGTCATGTGGGAAGGGAGGTGTGGAGAACCTGAATGATGAATACATAATGACGAGGGAAAATGGGTAAATACATGCAGGTAAGGTAGAGTGAGGTAATACGGTAGAGGAAGGTGAGTGTGCAGGGAAGAACAAGTCGCAAAAGACGAGGCAGAGAACAGCAATAACCTCAGATAAAGGGGATGGGTCTGATGAATACACATATGTTCGATTGCATTGCAAGGGATTGCAAAGCTCCTGGGCCATCACTAGAACTTTCGATCAGACGTCAAAAATGGGTCCACAGTGTTAAGTCATAAGTCTTCGTGAGCAACCTTGAAGAAGAGAGGATGTGGCGGCTGCCCGTGTGTTGTTGTTCAAATCCTCAATGGGAATCTACCTTCTACCCATGGACTAGATTACCCAATGTCATCACGAGTGGCCCAAGGTACTGATGATGGGGTTCTAGCTTTGATGTATCTCGGCAAACTATTGCATCATTGTCGAAAAGATCTTATGGTCACCATTTTCAGTAGTGTCCCCCAAGGAATCATTGATGTGTTATGGAATTAGGAACTCGGATGCATAGATGGAGCTGAATAAAGAGCACATATCCGCACGGTTAGTGCCGGCTCTCGATATCAAGCTTATTGTAAAATTGGTGCTTTAGGTATCAAAGTGCCGCCACCTAAACTTCCATCAAGTGTCGTTGTGGCAATCTATCTGACCATCCGTCCCAGAGTCCTAGTATGCCATGGACATGTTTGATATCGTCCACTGCGCTGATTCATCTGAGCCCGTGCTGCCACCCAAGTCGACGATGTTTCTGTAACCGAAATGCTCCGCTACGCCCAAAGCTCTATTCTGACAAGTCGTGAGAAGTTTAAAAATCTGCGGTCCGGTGTAAAGCTTCTCAGCCAACCTTGCTAGCTTCCCCATGACTACTTTCGTGTCGCTCTCCAGAGCCCGCGTCTCGTACAAGACGATTTCATCAATGATACATAACAGGATACTCCCCTGGGGAAGCTGCTTTAATAGTCCGACAAAGACCGAATACAGAGTCGTCGGTTTGAGCTCCTCTACATGCCGCCATTTGGACTCATACATGAATGATAAGTCGACTTCCATGCCACTGTCAGTCATTTTTTCGAGAAGCTGGCCGACGAGGATCGCCATCATTCTGCAGGGGCCGCGATCTGTTCTGGCATTGACCTCTTCCACGAGGTCTGGCTTATGCTCCGCGCAAAACCAGTTAACAATGTAAAATGGAGTCGAGGAGTCCCCTGCAGCTATGAAGCTTTTCGTCGACTGGGCAGCTACAAGACTAAGTGGTGAGATCCCATCAACGGCAGCGGTGTCGTCTCTTCCGTTCACGAGAAGACAGCTTGATGACGTTGTATTCATCATGAATGACTTGAAACTTTCGTGTCGTATGAGGGTGGCTGCTTTGGCTTTTTGTTTGTCGGTTAGTCTGTTGCCAAGACGAATCTGAGTGGCCACGTCCCGTGGAACAAGATTTGGGTCGTAATGAAGAGATTCAAATAATCGCTTTTGTGCCTTTCCAGCCTCCGCTTGTCGGTCGTCGGCATTTGCCCGCGTGTTCATGGATATCGATGCCCCGGGAAGGATGCGTGTTGCGTTCGCCATGTCATAAGCCGAAATTCGTGGTGATAAGGAATTTGATTGCTGATCGAATTGTTCTACATAGCTTTGCGTTAGCTTATTCATGGATTATTTATACAAGAGAGGGGGGATGGAGGCAAAGGTGGAGGGATATGGGAGGACAAAGAATTTCACCAGATGAGTGAACATAGGGGGTCAAAGAACAAAGGGGCGGACGATGTATGTCCTCAACATGCAAAGAAACATCGGAGAGTTTGCGTACCTAATCCTAGATTGGTCTCCAGTAGTTTGAAAAATCGTTGAAAAAAGGGGGCTAATGTCTTCGATTGTTGATTCATGTCAGATAGAAGGCGCATGCTCTCATGTGTTTCTTGAGCGTGACACTGCTGAGCTTCGTCTCTAAAGGTTCTAACCTTAGTTCTGACGTTCTCAATACTTTTCTGGAGGTCTTCTTGGTATGCTCCCTGCTTGAGCCAAGCATGGGTCACATTCTCTAGATTATTACTTCGTTAGGAAGTCAAAGCCTACATGAGAAAGAGCACTATTGATCAGTATGTGGGAATCGGAAGGCAACCTACTGAGCCTGCTGTTGAGAAAGAATTGCATCACATGAGCGAGTGCTTCTAAAACGGCCCGGAACAACTCAAAGCTTCTTTTTTCGAGACGGTGTCCTCCCATGTTCCGATACATTGCCATGTACTGCCTTGAACTTTCCATCATATCTGGGATTTGTGCCAAGAACTCGAAGATGATCTCCGGGGTGTTGGAGTAGGTCGAGGCAGCCTGTTCATTCATTAATTTAGGGCTTTCCTTGCATACGTCACCAAAGATATAAGCTAAGGCATACCCCGATGAAAAGCTTGAATACTCCACAGATACTAATCAAAGGATGTGTGAGCGCAAGTTTCCATGGAGTCGGCGAGAGTGGCTCATGTCGACCTTACCTTGCTCCGTAATCTCCCATTGGCAACAAGCTTAACCAAGCTTCCAGAGACTCTGAATGCCTCCCAATTCTGTCAATGAAGACCATTCTCTTACTCTCCTGGTTTGGGCTACTTTTCCAATGCTCTGCAGTCTTGCCAATCTCGGTCAAAACTTGAGACCAACTGCAGCGTCGCAACTCCAATGCCGTGTCGAGTGGGATGTGGGTCGCGCTCTTCATTTTCGCAAGTTTCTGTTCTACTTGCGTCATTAAGGCAAAAAGGCGTTCTTTTTCCTCATCCACCTGTTCCCACATCATTGTGCTATGTTCAATGGAAAAGTTATTAGTTGAGTCTGCCTTACGCGTATTGAAGATATAAATGCATTGAAACAGAGAATGGCAGACGCCTACCTCGCATCTTTCAGCTCCCATGCTTCATCTGCAGATACGAAACTTCCGCTTTGCTCGCTATACACTGGGAGTAGCTGTCCCGGTGGACAGATTTGATTCTCGATGAATGATACTGCCTCTTTCTGAGGGTAGCGATCCCTCGAAAGGAGGAACGAATCTCTCTGACCACTCTCCATCATTTGAAGTTGATAAAGTAACCATGGAATTCTTGGAGATAGACTGTGAATAGTGCTCATAATGAAAGAATTGGACATGCGTAAATCATATCATCTCAAGGAGAAGGCTAGGGGTGTTTGCAGTCGAGTTTTCCATGAGTGCAGGAGATATGGCAGTTATGTTCAGACACCCAAGCTGCAAGTAACCATTGTTGCCTGGATAACCGCCGGATATTACATGACTGCATGGTGATATCAATCTTTATTGGCTGCGCGTAATATGAACAACGCATTTCAAGCAGGCTGGAGGCAGGCTTACGGCAGGCTGTGACCCTCCAACTATCTAGTGTGGTACATTGCATGCAGAGGACGACAGTGCTGCAGACAATCAGCCAACGAGAGTCTCTCATTCTTCTGTCCCTATCTGTGGCATTTTCAGTGCTACTAGAATTCGGTGTTTGACTGGATACAGGCAGTGCGGAACGAGATGACACCGAAGCCTCCTGTTGACCGAGAGCCTAGGACAGTCACCCTCTGTAGTGCGGCGGTGTTTTCCTATACATTTACAATTCAGTGTCGGTCTATGGTCCTGTCGTACTTAATATGGAAAATGTCACCCAGAGTTTTTCTGCCGCTTTAGACCCTCCCTTCTACGACTTTCTCATCACCATCACTCTCGGCTCAATTCACCTGAATATGCCGCCAGAACTACCGCAAGCAGCACGAGAAGAAGACACGCCCAGGATTTTCCAGCAAAGAGATCGCAAGGAAACTTCAGAGGCCAATAAAATGCCAGAGTCTATCTGTGGTTCGGAGAGTGAGAATTTCGACCCGACAAGCCAGAAAGCCGATACTCCGAGTTCTGAACAAGATGGTTACTTGCCAATTGATCAAGAGAAGTTGGCCCCGGAAGACACAGTTGAAGAGGAAGAAGGCGAGGTGATTAAGAGCTGCCCACAGAGCGGCATACCCGAGTGCGACAGAGGTGCGCCATGTATTCGAAGAAGAGAAAGAATCCGGCCGGATGAGAATGCGATACCATCAAGCATCGCTGCACCATACATTTACCAACTTGCGGATTGAAGATCTTGAGCGCGGTCTGAAAGAGCTTAAAGCTGCATTTGAGAATCGCGATGATACTTGGGAAGCCCCGAAGAAGACCAAGTTTCCCATTCATCGACATGAACTGCGAAGATCATACGTAAACCAGTTTCGGATCACGCGGCTGACGGCTATGCTACATTGCGCGCAGCAACCAGCTCTAGAAGTACAAGTCACCGAAAGAATCCCATCTACTATTTTGACCTTGGAAAATGAATCGCAGAGTCTATCTCACCAGACAATTGGGAATGCTGAAGGTGTGTCATTTCAGGGCGGTTCCCTGAAGACCCCAGAGCGTCTGCGAATCAGGTCGTGGTCTCTTCTGTCACATCTCGAGAAAATAACTGGATGTGCTATAATGGGTCTTGCACAGTCTACTAAGATGGATGGCATCAAGGTGCACAGCGGCGTCGCGTTTCTCCGGCCATTCAAATTCTTCGCTGAGCACCACGATGCAATCAGGAAGAGTCAGGCTGAATTGGAAATTTGGATGCACACTGGCACACCCTCTAAGCCCGGAAGGAGATCTCAGGGGCAAGCGACCGGGTCTCTTCGCGAAACTTCGACTCAGCATGACTCTGATGATAAGAACCTCGTGGAAGATTTGAAGCTCCTTGTCCACTTTCTTGCCAACGATTTGAAGTCCACATTCGACCTGCGCCAAAAAGTCAAGGATGGAACGGCGCTTGAAATCGATTATGACGATGTTTGGCATCTCTTTGCACGGGGGGACATCGTTATAACGCCTTCTGACCCAATCAAGCTTATCGAGTCATCAATATGGCGGGTGGTCGCGAGCCATTGCAGTACGAAGCTAGGTACCCGCGAAGTGACGTGGAGAAGCCTGTTCCTGTGGACGGCTTTGTTTTGAACTGCTTGAGCTTTGGATCCGATGGCACCGCGTACATTCCAAAACTACAAAGACTCCCCATCCATCGGTTCCATGGAAGACGATTCATTACTTCGTTACCCGTTTATCCTTTGCGATTCGACCCGAAGCAAAATGCATTGCGAGCCAAATTCGAAGCCATGGGCACGAGGTTTCTGGGGCTGACTCGAGAAACCTGTTGCCACAAGCTGGCGCGTGGCAAGACACTCGATGAGCCATCTCATGACTTAGACAACCAAGTCATAGTCGACATGCGCCTCGCAATGACGGCTAAAGCTGAGTGGAGAATGAAGACCAGCATATCTTCGGAAGAGCTCACTCGAAGGGACAAAAGAGAGACCATTGAAGGGTCCTGGTGTTATCATCGTGAACCAGGTTGTTGCGGCCGCGATGTCATTTTTAATGACCTCTTATACGATAAAGAGGACGCTGCCGCCTTCAGTCAGAAACTAACCAAAATTTTAGGTCCAATGCAGGAAAAAGATCTGACAGAGGAAGATTTGATGTTAATGCAGCCCTACGTCTACGCCTTCGTTCTCCGATCTAGACAGTGGGCAACCATCTGGACAGCAGATCTGAAAGAAGTTGTGTTCGAGAATAACTTCAACGACCTCGTCATTTCTGAAGACCACAAGGAGACCGTCAGGGCACTGGTAAGAACGCACGAGAACAAGCGGGCCGCGGAAGTATCTCCTAGCGTCACACGTAGCGTTGGAACAGCGTTGGACCTTGTCAAGGGCAAAGGGGCCGGCCTTGTCATCCTTCTCCACGGTCCGCCTGGCGTGGGAAAGACCTCAACGGCTGAGTGCGTTGCCGATGACACCCATCGACCTCTCTTCCCCATTACGTGCGGCGATATTGGAGAGACGGCAGCCGAGGTCGAGACCAACTTGCAATATAGCTTCAAGCTTACACATAAATGGGGTTGCGTGCTGTTGCTGGATGAGGCTGACATCTTCCTCGCGAAGAGAGTTTGAGACGACATCCGTCACAATGCTGTGACGAGCGTATTCCTTCGCACACTTGAATATTACGCGGGAGTTTTGTTTCTTACCTCGAACCGTGTCGGAACAATTGACCCAGCTTTCAAGTCAAGGATTCAGATGTCTCTCTCATACAACGATTTGGATCTCCCAGTGACTCTCAAGATTTACGAGAAGTTCATCAAAAGAGCGAAAGAAGAGCAGCACAGTACGGGCACCCAGAACTTCAAGATCAAAGAGAAGGAGATCATGAGTTTTGCCGAAAAGCACTACAATCGACTTGAGCTTGAAGGACGATATACATGGAATGGGAGGTACGTTCATGTCTCACTCACCCAGCTTTCGAGCGAGGTCTTTAAATGTTCGCCAAGATGACTGACTATTATACGATGTAGACAAATCCGGAACGCTTTTCAGACAGCCATCGCTCTGGTCGAATACCAATACATATCAAAAGAGGCAGACGAGCCCAAACCCAGTCTTGGCAAGAAGCAATTCAAAAAAGTTGCAAAGGGTTCAAAGAGTTCGACGACTATCTCATCAATGTGACCGGAGCGACAGAGGCAGATGATGCTAGACGCGATGGCTGGCGACATGATGTTCGAAAGACCGTATCCTCGCCGACGCCGCACAGGTCTACCCAGAGTAGTCGCATTCAGCAGGGCTCGAAACATCCTGCGCGAAACCTAGAGTCTGAAGACAGCTCCGAGACAGAGAAAGAAAGTGACGAGGATTCTGAGAATGAAGCCAAGGGTGGAAGGATATCAGAGAAAAAAGCTACCCCCAGCACTGTTGGAGGTCAATCTCTTGCTGCCGCTGGAGCGTCCGTTGATATGGAACAGTACCAACAATTCCTCAAGTTTCAAAAGATGATGTCCAGTGGTGGCAAATGAGAGTTAGAAATTGCAGTGAGCATACGAATGACTGAGTACAAGTAGTAGCAAGAAGGACTAGACTTTGAGTTTCATCTACGAGTTCTATGCGGTGACCATGAGATTGATCCTACCGTGAATCAGGAAATACACGAGGAATGCCTGGTTTTCTCATTCAATTACTGAGCAAGATCTGCTTGGCATCATTGAGTTTGCGCGCTGAATATTGCGGCCACGTGAATTGCCATGCGTGCCATGAGGCAAACGAACGTAGGCATCATCTGCAACACAGCCTTACAGCTCCGCTGTGCTGCAACCACATGACGTTCACAGATTTCAAAGTTTTCAACCAACCAGGCTCTCAGTTTCGCAGTTGGTTTCGGCCAAGATCTTGTTGGAACCCTTACTTCTGCAAGTCATTCGATTCCCCTGAAAACAGCATCTCGCAAAAAGGCTCAGCAGACGCCTTATTCGGGTCGCCTCGTCAGCGTAAGCACAGCATTGGCCAGTAAGCGGGAATGCGGCATAACCGAAGTGATGCCTGGCTACCTATCAGAAAGTGGACATGGTTGGTATATTTCAGCCGCGTCCCAAAACATCAGATATGCTCGGATCAGGCTAGCGTGTCTTATGCCAGCTCCACGCCACGGCTCTTTCGACAACGCTCGTAAACGCACCTGCGCGGCCCGGCCCCTACACTATGCAGCGTCAGCCGGTGTGATAGTCAGCCACTCCGAAGACTGAGGGCCGACCTGGTTGCAGCAATTACTCGTCGGAATGCAGAAGGCTATCAAGGCTGGCTGAGTAGTCTGTCTGGCTTGGTGATGGGACTCGGCGTCAGACTGCTGACCATCTTGTCTTTCATTACACCAATCAACTTCTGTCCTTCACCTAGAAAGTCTACGATCAACTGTTGCACAGATTTGCCCCAATGAAGACAGCTCTGCGGCTGAGCACTATGTAGCCTGCCTTGGGGGTTTCTGTGTAGATGGGGGCGTTGCATGTGACGCTGATTGATACCTATTTATTGCCGTTGGCTGCCCTGTTTCTGCTGGATCCTTTGCAACTACTTTTCCAGAAAAACACTTCATTTTCCTTACTCAAAATCTCAACCATGGTTCGCATTGAAGATTTCGAGGGTATGCAGTACTCTAGGGTGGGAGACGAGTCTGAGATGCAGGAATACGCTTTCTTCAACCAGCAATATGCAACCTCAACATATCAAAAAGAGCACGACATGAACCCCGATCTCATTGTGCGACCTCAGAACGATCAAGATGTCATCAGAGCGGTCAACTGGGCCAGAGAGAACAAGGTCTCCGTTGCCGTCAAGAGCGGAGGCCACCAGTACAGCGGAGCCTCGTCCACAAGCGGCAAGAACATCCAGATCGACTTGGGTAACACCTACAAGGATCTCATGATCTTGAAGCCCAAGGAACCCATTGCAGACAACCGCACACTTGTTTATATTGGCGTCAGCATCACTATGATGGACCTCAACAAGTACCTCAAGCAGACGAAGCTCTTTGTTCCCACTGGCCAGTGTGCGTACGTCGGTGTGGGAGGTCACGGCCAGACTGGCGGTTACGGACAGTTGGGCCGAAGTTTTGGCCTCTTTGGAGACAACATCAGAACCATCCGTATGGTGTGCCACGACGGTGTCATCCGCGACATCACCAAGGAGAACAACCCCGAGATGTTCTATGCCATTCTTGGTGGCAGCCCAGGAAACTTCGGTGTCATCACTCACTACATTGTCGAGGTGTACAAGTCTAGCAGCTACCTTGGTACCGTCGCTGGACCCAACGGCTTCAAGGGACCTCACGGCATCAAGGCACTCTGGCTCTACTCCAAGGAAGTTCTTACCACACTTCTCAATGCCATTGCCGAAATGGCTGACGACCCTACATTCCCCCGCGGCTTTGACCTCTGTGTCAGTGTCATCAGCACAGACTTCCCCATGTCGACTCTGTTCAAGGAGCTCAAGGATGCCAACGTCTGGCAGCGCATCCAGGACCGCATCAAGAATGCACTCGAAGACGACTTTCTGGAGTTGCTCAATGGACGATTTCCAGCCTCGATCATTCTGTACGCGCAGTGGTGCCCGACCAGCAAGGAGGATAGGTACGACGCCAATGTCGATGCCTGGTTTGGCAAGTTCCGAGAGCTCAAGAGCCTGTTGGAAGACTTCTCGCTTCAGTTTGGAGAATTCGACATGGAGATGTCGGATATGACTGGGCAGTGGATCTTCCCCAGAGCGCGCGAGTTTGACCTTCCCTACGTCAAGCGGACATATTCGACCAACTCCACCAGCCTTACAAAGGACAAGTGGGTTGATACTGTGGTTGACCGCATCGACCTCATCTACAACCCTGAACAGTATCTCAAGGGACATGAGGGTGAGAAAGATTACGAGCGCTTCATGCGATGTAAGCTGTCGGTTCAAATCCAGTGCTTTGGAGGCAAGAACTCGCGCTTCTTCGTCAACAGAGACAACGGCACATCTTACAGCTGGAGAGACTCGTCTGTTGTTCAGACGTTGGATTGCTTCCACGAGCCAGATGAAGATTCAAGAAAGCTGGCTCAATCATGGCAAGCCAAAAACGATCAGATTATGAATGGACCTGACAGCCCGTTCAGCAAGAAGGACAGACGTCTTCTTTGGGGATCCTATGGTGATTGGAACTTGGGTGATGAGAAGATCTGGAAGTGCTACTACGAAGATGAGGAGAAGTACAGGCGACTTGGAAAGACCAGAGCACTCGCCGATCCCAACGGAACGTTTACTGCAAATCCGTTCGCAATCACTGCGGTCAGCAATGCAAAGTTGTGAACGGAGCTTTGTTCTGCAGTAAACACTAGTCTGGGCGGAAACCTTGTATGTTAAGATTGGGTCAAACTTGTGCCTCAAATTGTTTGTAGTCTAAAATTGCATATTTCTCATCACATTGCCATTCTCAGCGCCAACATCTTGCCAATATCCGGACTCCCCAAGCCAGTGACAGCGTCCCAGCCAGCCACCGAGGGCCAACTCGCGTTCGGCACGAGCTTGGCTCCGAACTCAGGCGGGAACTTTTGCGTGCCAAAACCAGTTGTACCAGTGCAGCCCACGGACTGCCCAGCAGACACGTCGTTGATGGCTTGCAATCCAGCGCCATATAGCCATGGATTAATGAATCCCATTGGTGGCTTTCCCGCCTGAATGAGAGCGGCGTTGACCATGCCCACCATGCCTGCCCAGATTGGAGCGGCGGCGCTGGTACCTTGGAAGCCACCTAGTTGGCCACCCGTCACGAATGTGAGGTTGAAGCTCTGGGCACTGACGTCTGGGAATCCTCGGCCTAACGCGTTGAAGAGGCCGTTGAATTGAGTTCCAATGGTATTCTTCAGGTACGCCGGCACAACTTGTTCTTGATATGCCGGCCTCGCGAACTTGTCCGAGAACCCACCGCTCGAGAAGTCGCTGGCCCGCTCAGGCGCGATACCCCTCACCCCACCGACTCCAGTGACGAAGGGGCACGATGCCGGAAAGACGGCATTGAACCGCGTGCTGTTGGTGCCGTCGTTTGTGACACACGTGTTGCCCGGTCCAGAGTCTCCCGACGCGGCGAACATCGTAACGCCCCTGGCCCCGAGTGCACCGAACTGATCGCAAATCTGCTGAACATAGCCGTCCGGAAGGGACTGTTCGTTCTCGCCGAAACTAGTGGTGATCGTGTGAGGAAGCTTGTCGTCGGGTAGCTTGAGCATCGCGTCTAACCAGATCAACCAGGGTTCCGTCGTGTCCCCAGGCTGCCCGCCTAGTTCGAGCTTGATTGGTCCGTCTCCCGCCACAGCGGTGACGATGTTTGGTACCGGGTTGGATAGTGAAGCCGTGTATTGGACATCGAAGTTGAGCTCGGCGTTTGAGAACTTGTTCTGAGCCTGATCGGTTGTGCCATTGTTGATGCTAAGGAAAGAAAACTTTACTCCCGTTGACGGCTGATCGACGTTCTTAGCAAACAGGGCAAAGTCGTCAAATTTAGCCACCTGGTTCTGCGAAGCGTAGATCCCCAGACCGCGGGCCAGACTGACGTTCATTTTGGCAGGAATATTGTACAGAGCTCGTATGCAGTTGGGTGTAATAGTCCTGTTACACGTAGGATCGACTTGTGCTTGCGATGCGGGTGGTGTAATCCTATCCACCTGTGCCATGTAAAGAAGCTTCGGGTTCACCCCAGCTAACGACCTCTTCGCTTTCCGAAGCTCATCGCTGGGGGCGTCGTCAGCAATAGGTGCAGCCACTGCTGGTCCTTGGTGCATCATCGGGTGAGAACAGAATCTCGTGGTTGGGGTGATCAGCGAGATCTTGTTCTTCAACTCCAAGGGTAAAGAATACTGCAACGTCCGCAGCACCTCCTTGCCGCTGTCAATGTTTTGAAACCATGTAAAGTCTGCATCGAGCAGACTATTCGCCTTCTTCACCGTCGTCTGTACTTTGATCCAATGACTGTCGCTCGCTATATCTGCCGCCGTTGCGTTCCCGTGTTCCTGAAGCCAGTTTATAATGATGTCTCGTGACTCTGTATCGGGGTTGAGGAGTGCTTGTGCCTCCTCTCGAGAGAGGTGCCTGCCGTAAAGCTCATGTCCCGGCGTTGAGACACTGTAGAGAGCCCGCTCCACATGACCGCTTCTATCGGCTGCGATGGATATGCTGAATCGATGATTTGGATCTGCGGAACGAGAGACTGTCCATCCCGCTGGTGGATCTCTACTATACTCTACTTGTATTGAGCCAGCTCTCGAAGCGGTGGCAAATGGTCCAATGAAGGAAAGGACTGTAGACGCCACGAAAAGGACAAGCATCTTGAAAATCGATTTCGTGCCCCAGGCACCGGACTATTAGGCAAAAATTAACAGCAAAAAAAACAAGGAGAAGAGCAGTTAAAAAATTTGCAGATAGATGGAGGCGCTTCACAGGGCATTTTGGGGAGAAAGTCGGAACAGGACCTTGAGATCTCACCTGTATTGTACCAGGCCGGCCGTATGAACTACATAGCCGCCTGATCCTTTGGGCATTTGACTAGTGAGCGACCATTTCGAGTTAATTATTGAAACATAGCCTAAAGCTAAAGATGCGGGCGTCATCACGGTCGAAACTTGTCTGAGTACGGGTCCACCTGATGTCGCAGCAAGATCTTTGTGGTTGAGGGTCACATCGTTAGTCAGTTTCAAGTTTCTGAAGCGACGGTCTTTTCACCAGCATCCCGCCTCCGGTCACCTAAAGATTCCGGATTCACCGGCTCTGTACCCCTCGTCTTACGAATCCATTGCAGAATCGGTTGCTCTGTCGATTCGAAGAATGCAGGGCCCGAAATGGTGGCTCTAGCTCAACTGTACTTAGAGTATGCTCAAAATGTGCCGATATTTTAGGGGTCATGACTTGAAGAACTTTCCGGTTCTCGAAGACTTTACTAAGCCTTCACGAGGTCTTGGCCTTGTTTTCTTGGGATCTGCTTATTCGTAACTCAAGGACATCGGGAAACAGGAAGGAAGGCCCGTATTTAATAAAAGACTCATCGCATGAAGACGCAGTTGCGGAGGAAGCTGTGTTCTAGCACACCTTTCCAAAGTTTGGTTCATGAAAATTGCACGAATTTCAAAGATTCCGTTGAGGCTTCACGAGGACCAAATGATGTAACGCGAGTACGAAGTTGGTAGTTGTTGGAAACTTCACCGTTTGGATGACGAATAATTCCAAATGCAGCTAGAATCCGTCAGCGGATGAAAGTCAAATGTGTAGTGTTCCAACCAAAAAATATCTGTACCTACGATAAGCCTTGCGGTAAAATCTTCGGACATAGCCGTGAACGCGAGACGATCGTCAGCCAGAGAAAGCTTGAACCATCCGAAGTTTGAGAGAAGGCAGCTCCTTGATCTGAATGTCCTTGATCACGAAAGGGAGGGTGCTTTGGATGGCCCAGGAGAGCACAGCCCGTTCGAGGTTTTCAGCGCGCGTCACTTAGTCATGCAGCAAGCATACAAGGCCTACCTGACGTGACTCGACCCTCGCATCCATGGTATTGAGAAGAAAACCTTGTTCTTCCGATCCGCGAATTCTACCTAGACTACTCGGGATCCTTCAAGCCGCAAGTTTGCCCTTCAAGTAATACTTACTGATCAGGTATAACTTGGGTTAATACATAGTCTTGAAGGTGATGCGCTCATGGGTGGTAAGTCAAACAGCCTACAGATGCCCAGAAACCTACTTCCTTCTGCTGCAAAGCGTTGTCAAACAACATCCTCCTCCAAAGATAGTATGCATAGACTGCGTCAATGAGTACTTTCTATTATGCATGCCTCGAGTTGTGTTTTGGGCCGGTGATGTTGCGGGCCGGAGCTTTGGTAATACTCTCTTATATCCAAGCAGAATTGCTGTTCCATACCCTAACATGGACGAGTGACTACTTCACTCATACATCACAGTCGTTTCGAATTTCTATCTCTTCAGTCGGGTATAGTGTGATGTATTGAAAGCTGAAACAGTAGCTATATAATGACGAGCAAGTTGGCATAGTTGCTTCCGTATGTTCCACTCCCTATACTCGGCTTTGACTGAAGAAAAAGAATCGCAAACCTCATACTTGGTTCGAAAGTGGCGGGAAATTCTTCGCCGTCGTATCCATTAAATTGGACTGTGAGTTGCGTACTATCGGTTCATTGCCTATGTTGAAGTCGGTATAGTTCTTTCTACCCACTCAGCAACCCCTCATTGCAGGTAATACAGGAATAAGGCGTGAGTAGTGTAAATGCGTCGGGGCTATGATTCGTCTTTCCCCTGTTCTATTTCACATTCAATTCCCAAATGCATATAAGAAACCTTAACAAAGATTAGGAGTTCGAGGCCTAGACCGGATTTCTCCAAGTTTTATCCCCCCACTCCCTCGCCAAGAATTTGAAGATGAACTCAGCCCTGGTTGTCGATCTCTCTAATAACCTCGCACCAGATAAACAAGTTGACGTCCTCTTAAGACCAACATATCAATAGACCTACGTTACGGAGCATATTCGCAGTATAAGTCGTGAAACTTGCAAGTACCTTCCTTTCTAAGAGCTTCAGTGTTACTAATGGATGCTAAATTACTATGGTTTAGGTAGCAGATAACGAAGTAACTCTCTTACTAGGAGGACCGTTCGCCTCTATTACCAGCATATCAAGTTCCATATGGATTTCTCAGGGTTTAGGCACGTACACAATTTCATCCAAGAGAAAAAGAAGCCCAAGTTATTACATGATATAGGTTGTTCATAGCAGTGCCGCGATGATTGTTGGATTTTCGTCGGCTTTACGAATCACGATCGTCAACGGTAGTCTTTTTAATATCTTCCGTGGGTGATTGTCCAAGTCAGACCCCGAAACCGAGGGCGTCAGTCTTGCGATCAGATTCGGAAAGACGTGGCGCACTCTAGACAGCCAGTCTCTGTTTGTTGCGGTCGATTGATTCGGTCGCCGTCACTTCGCATTGGGCCTCGCTCGAAGCCTTCGTGCTGCTGTAAGCTTGAGCCTTACTACCCGAATCATAGTTACTGGGTTTGGGTACTTTCAGAAACGTTTTTCTATAGTCGTCGGCATGTCTGAAACTCATGTCGTACTGTGAGCCGGCTAGGTGCCCGTCACGGCGCGCATCTTTCCGATCGTTAATCTGAAGATCACTTAGTTCCGAGAGTAGGCCCTCAGCTGGGAGATCTTCTGTGTTGTCGATGAAGATTGCTGGTGGGTTGCTCATTGCTTCCGAAATCTGGGTTGACTTGGAGCGAAGGGGCGATTGCGTAACTTCGGCAGTAATGGTTATCGAAAGAATGCCAGATGTCGGTTTAGAATCTAGGTACTTCCCATAAGGTATAGGACTGTGTGGGGAGGGAACATCTGATATTTTTCCCTCTTAATGACGAGTTTTATACTCGTTATTATTGAACGTCTTAAAGATGTCAACTCGCATCACGCTATTTGCATCCCAGAGGTAAATTGCAAGGTTCAAAGACAGATGATTTGACGTCTGCGGGTGTTTGGGTGTTGGTAAAACGCAGTAGGTAATCCCACGCTACCCGAACAACAGGAACAAAGCAGGCATGATCTGTTATTTAATACGGAGTAGAAGTTTGAGCAATCTTACGATGGAGCCTATGGAGGTAGATGTTGTTCAACCCAGCCATTGAGTGATTCGCTGTCGTGTTTCGATGGAACATGTGCCTGACGCCAAGACGCATCGACTTCAGCAGGACAAAGAAGAGTCCTAGGATTGAGATAAGTTGACAGGTGGAAGATGCTGATGCAAACTCGGAGTGTATCGATTATTCAGTGGCTAGAATCACTGGGGTGGGAAATGTTCATCAAGGCGGTGTTTTTGGTCTTTACTCTTTCATCACGATGCGGATAGACATTCCGGTGAAGTTTTGCTCAACGTTTGCCTTTTTTTTTTCTTGGCTGATTGAACATGCATATGTCCATTGTCGCTTGTGTTTGGCAAACTTATCGGGGTAACGAGGCGGTAAAAGAGAGACCAGGGTACCTCGTTGAACAGAAGGATGTAGACTCTGGCTGTTTTACCGCGTCAAGGACTGCTAGCCGTCACAACTCTGACCTCAAGTGATCATCCACTTTCCAAAACCTCATGAAATGATACAGTTGAGCGTGCCGGTTCTTAGGAGCATTCTGGTAGTCGAAGAGCAGTGTCTAAAGTGTTTCCGCTGACTCCCGAGATCACGGTACCTGGGTGAGCGACATCCAAATGATGGCGGCTAGTAAGAGAGCAAACCATCTCAGAAAAAGAGTGGGAAAAGTAAATCTCGGTGCGGTGATCCGGACTCGCGGACTGAAACTCACTCCTTCCGGTAACATGCGCTCAAAGGTACCATAGTAACGGAGACCGAGAGCAAACAAACTCAATTGATGGAAATATGTCCCATTGACGCTGCAGAAGCTTCTCATCACGAGTCTTATTTCATGACGTTGAAGTTTAGCGCCGGAAGCACAGCGTCAAATTCGCCCAACCACCTGATCAGATCATCACCTCAGAGGATGGCCCCGCGACTCAGGGCATCAGCGGCGCTGCCGGTGGTGCAGGTCTTCTTCCAAAGTTCGATTGCAAGCGAGAGCGAGTTCTAGCCAAGCCGGATTAGGATGCGAAAAGAACAGCGGGGATTTGGGGGTGACGGGGAAAGCGAGAGATATGCGGGCTAACTAATCACGGCAGTGTCTTGGCTTTCTCCGACCCCATTCAGCCAACCCAGGATCTGCATTCAGAGCCTGGTAGGGGCAATAGGCAGCAAATTAGACTTTTTTCCCAAAGGACTAAACCTGACTAGACTCGACTTATTCGCGGGTTCCGGCCGGCCAACACGTCGGGGTGTCGGGATGGAATACGCGGATAGCTCGCTGTCTCTCCCTCAGCCCCCACGTGATGGTATGGCACTTTTCTCTTTGCAGGTTCTTCTTCATGGAGATGGGTGTTCCTGGAAAAAAGGGAAAAGGGGGACGAAAGTTCTTTATCTGACATAAACAATCATCGCAAATTGACTCCCCGCGAATCTGTGAGGCGTCTGCATTGTACAGTCGCGACAACTCGACTGCCCTCTCCGTGAGCAGCCGCAGACAGTGTGCTGAAAGCGCAATCTTACGCCCGACTCACTCACCGGCCTCCCGCTCACCTTTTTATGAGGGCCGTTCCGCGACATCCGATATCGTAGAACCGCCAGGAAGAGGCCCCATCATCGCCCCGACCTCACAATCTCCGTAAACCGTTAACCATGACCGAGCCCTCGTCCGCCGACAATGGCGGCGGTATCGTAGGCCGCGTCCGGGGCGCGTCCCTCTCCATCATGAACGCGAACCCGCAATTGGGCATGTGGCAGGCTGCCGGCACAGCAATCGCCCAGGCGCCGAACCTCACCGAGCTCCGCGACCCCGAATCCGGCGGCGACAACATCGCCTTCACGGCGCAGGGCCACTCGGCGCGGTACGCCGTCCAGGAACCCCACGGCGACCTCGCGCTCATCCGATCCAACACGGGCCGGCGCGCGTCGACGTTTTCTATCAATGGGCAGTCTGCTGGGGGGCGGAATGTGTTTAACGACAAGTCGGAAAATATCAGGGAAACGGACGAACCTGCTGTGCTGAATGAGACTTCGGACGAAGCACGGCCGGGGACGGGGACGCATGATGAGAGCCTGCTGCCCAGCGAAGGTCAGCAGTTCCAGCGACGGCAGAGCCTGTATCAGAAGCACGCGGCGGAGGAGAAGGCGCCGTGGAAGACGACAATCGTCAATGGTTTGAAGGCTTTTTGGAAGTTCTTCCTCACGCCGTCAGGGTTCGTCATCACCATCTACTGCTTGAATATTGTCGTAAGTATCCCACCTCAACTAAATGTCTTCTTTAAAAATAAGAGATGCTAACATGGGTTGACTCTTAGGCCTGGGGAGTAAGTTCATATCATGATGTATGAAATTGAAGTCGACTATACTGACCCACCCTCCCAGGCAATGCTCTTCTTCCTCCTCCTCAAGGCCGCACCAGCAATGAACTACCCGACCGCCGACGACGACAACTCACCCCGCAAGAAGTGGCTCGAAATCTCCAGTCAGATCCTCAACGCGCTCTTCTGCGTAACGGGCTTCGGTCTCGCTCCCTGGCGCTTCCGCGACTTGTACTGGTACATCCGCGCCGTCAACTTCAAGAACCAGGCGGCGATGCTCAAGCTCGCGGCGCAGAACAAGAGCTGGTTCCGGCCGCCTGCGTGGGCTCTGCAGGGCGAGAAGGCGCCTGAGACGTTTACCGGACAGGTTGCGCCGCCGACGGCGCTGTGGAAGCTGGGGTTCACGATTTGGATGATGGTTTGGAATACGTTTTTACAGGCTGTGTTGTGTTATTTCATGTGGGGATATAACCGGCTTGACCGACCTGTGAGTACTCCATATGATTTTGCTCATAATCAATACGCCGTAACCGTGTTTGTGGACCTGGCTGTGAATGGAGCTAACATAAGATTATAGTCATGGGCTACCGGCACCTTCATCGGTCTGGGATGCGGTGTCGCCATGCTTGCCGGTCTCATGTCCTGGTGGGAAGGTCGGAAGGTGAAGCAAATCGAAGGCCCAGAGGTCAAGGTCGTGGAAGGAGAGCCTGGAGAGGTGTAATATGTAATTTTCTAATTTGGTGTCGTCTGACATAGATATAGAGGTGGCGTGAGAGGTAGACTTGTGGTTTTAGAGCGATTTGAGTTGCATGGGGCAGCTCACAACTTCGACGGATAATGACATGCAATTGCAGCACTCGGACCGGAAGTCACAATGCTTCTTTCCGTGTTTCAACGTCTTTGAGCTAGAAAGCTCTAAGCATATGGCTTGTCAGGTCGGGCGTCGGACGTCTGGCTACCGAGCTGAATTGATGCCCCGGCTTGAGATGACCTTCAGAATTGTGTGAGAGCGCAATGAGGCTCAGTGGAGCTGTCCACAAGCTGATGAGAGTGATCTGCGATAGTCGAAAGAGTCCATTCAAAATCTAAACGAAGTTTCGGTTGTTAGAAATCCCGTCTTACAGTACCACATAGAACTCACAAAGCCATCAAATTCGGCCCAGCTCTTGAAAACTATTGAACTTCTGCATGTGAAGGATTTCAGCCATTCTTATATTAATCGACCACATGTCGATCTCACTGCTCTCCCACACCCATCCACACATATTTGTGATTGACATATCTAGACTTCCAATTAACACAATAAGGTTAAAATACTATCGTTCAGTCAAAACTAATTGCATGAGGAATTACGGGGATGAGTATCGCGGCATGAACCAGACGTAATTCCAACGACATGGGCAAGGATATCTAGAGTACCTCGTCTTCCATACGATAAGCTACCAGATTCAAGTATCTTCAGATATAGCTGGCCTGTGCTTTTGCCACCCCACAAGCGTCACGCGGTATCGAATTAGTATCGAGATGCCTCGGATTTTCCCACCACTACTCGTCTTCATCTTCAACATCGCTTCTTAATCCCTTTACTCTACAACTCAAGTAGAACGCCGTCGAGATGTCCATATCCCAGGCATCACTCTCGGTCGCAATCTTGGCCTCCACCCTCGGAACCTACATAGGCCTCCTAAACCCCAACCCCGAACCGCCCCAAAAACCAAACCACGACCTTCACCACCACCACAACCACCATCACCAACCGCAGACCAACCACGCAGACTCGATCCGCTGGATGCACCTCACCCACAGACACACCCCCAAAGTGATCCTCCTCCCCCTCGCCCTCCTCTCCCTCCACCTCGCCGCCCTCACCCTCTACCACCCTGCCATCCCGCCCTCCATCCTCCGCCACGGCGCCGAAAACGGCCTCAGCGCCTCCCTAACAACCTGGTCCGCCTCAACCCTCTTCCCGCTCGCCGCAATCTTCTTCGCCGGCGTCCCGCTCCGTCTCGGGCCCTACCGCTCCCTCGGGAAAAACTTTACTTTTCAGCTCACGAAACCGGATCAGCTCAAGACGACGGGGATTTATCGGTACCTCCAGCACCCTAGCTACACGGGCGTCATCGTGCTCGTGCTGTCGAATGTCGCGCTGCTGGCTAGGCTCGACGGCGTGCTGAGCTGCTGGGTTGCGCCCGGTTGGCATCAGGGTTTGAGGAGCGTTCAGTGGATTTTGGGGCCTGCTGCGTGCTGTGTGTTCTTGTTTGGTGTGTGGACGAGGGTGAGGGAGGAGGAGGGCATGTTGAGGGAGGAGTTTGGGGAGAAGTGGGAGAGGTGGCATGCTTCCACGGCGCGGTTTGTGCCGTATGTATTCTGATTTGAGACGTTGCGTTGTGGTGATTCGAGGTTGATATCCATAGTAGACTCCAATGTCCAATTCAAACATTTACTCATTGACTTTGATGACATGATCTCTTATTTGGCATATCTATCTTGGTGCCAGTCTCCTAATACCAGTCCAGAAATGTATGCAATAGAACAAGTGGTCTCGTCTTCTTCCCTCACAGGTCCTTGTCTGCCTCCATCACGAACTTGAAACCCATACACTTCACCTCCTAATCCCTTTTCTTAAAGACAACCAACTTTCCAATCATCACTCACCTCTCTCAATGATCTCCGCAGCATCCATCCATCCAAACAATCCCAGTCCCCAAGGCCCCCAAGTTCCACAACAGAATGGATCCAGCCAACAACCAATCCACAACACCAAAAACCATGCATATTGCTCCACACCTAGGGCCGCACACCCTTCCCAACCACCCGCATCCTTGCATGAGCACCTCACCGTCGCCAAATTCTCATCGAATCACATAGGCAAGATGGCCGAGCGGTCTAAGGCGCTAGCTTCAGGTGCTAGTCAAGTAATTGGCGTGGGTTCGAATCCCACTCTTGTCAACTCATCATCGCTCTGATGCGTTAATACTATGTCTTTTTTGCCCTAGGTGCGTGGGGAGGTTGGCGTTTTGTAGGATTGGGTGGATTGTAGGCACCTGTGACGATAGGAAGTGACTTGTGGGGTTTCTAGTAATTGAGCAAGTTGATGTGAGGAACAGTTGAGGAACGATTTAGTCAAGGAAGACACGCGGACATGCTGGCACCATCTCGCCAAGCGTGGCTCTCGAAGTCCTCCATGCAAGATAAATCAAATTGGATATCAAAGGCCTTTGAAAACCAAAGGCCAGGCTATCAACGACACGCTGTCCAGGCCAACACCAAGGCGACTTCGTACCTCGTGTCGTGTCATCCATGACCACCAGTCCTGGCACCTCAAAGCTGCGATACCCCATTCTGGCGATCAAGCTTCGCCTTCTCCCTCTTGGCATCCGCAATCTTGATACTCAGCTTGACAGGCTTGCCGCCCGGCGTCTCAAAGATGGTATCAATTTCCTCCAAGTTCAGCTTACTCGTCTCAGGGAAGACGTAGTAGCTGATGATAATCTGGATAAAGTTGTACACAATGTACACTGCCCAGATCTTGTAGCCAACTTTGCCGACGCCGATGCCGATACCATAGTTGTGCACCACGGCTGCGATAGCCTGGAACATGGCAAACAGGCCCATGCCCTTGGCACGCAGCGGTAGCGAGAGCAGCTCGACCGGGTAGAGGTTGTGCATGGTCGCGATGAAGGTGGCGCTGCAGACCTGGAAGAGGTAGATCCAGACGACTGTCAGGATGGCCGTCGTCTTCTGTTCGCTGAGGTTGTACTGCCAGCTTGTGATGGTGACGGCAATTTGTGCGCAAATCATGCTTATCAGGCCGGCGAAGATGAGGGTGCGACGGCGGAAGTAGTCGATGATATAGGAGCCGAAGAGGGTGAAGACAAAGTAGATTGCCGTCGAGCCAAGGCTGATGCCGAGCTGGTCGAGTTGCGTGGTGATGCCGATTGTGTCAAGCGCGGGGGCCAGGTAGTATCCGATGATGCCACCTCTATTGAATGACCATACGTTAGCAATCACAGTACACAAGAGCGATGGGGCTCATAGAAACAACGTACCCATTCCACTGTTGGAAAACAGCGTAGACAGCTAGAACAACGGTACGGAACCATACGGCCTTGGTGAAGAAGACGCGGAAATCCCAGGTGGCGCGGAAGCCAGCCTTTGTGGTCTCGATGGACTCCTCAATTTGCAGGATCATAAGGTCGACAATCTCGTGGTTGATGTCGTTGTTGGTCGTCATGTACCTTGCTACAACGCGACGGGCTTCCTCCTTCTTGCCGCGCATGTAGAGGAAACGAGGCGACTCTGGGCACAAGAAGTAGATAGTAACACACACGAAGAGAGGGAAGATGGCCTGGATGAAGAAGGCCATCCGCCACTGCCAGTCGCTGTCCCAGTTTGTCAAACCCATCATGATACCAATCATCATCAGCGAGCCGACTTGGAAACACGCGCCAAAGACGCCAACTAGGCGACCACGAAGGTGTACTGGCGCGAGCTCGGCAACGTACTGCGGCGCAGTGCAAAGCGCCGTTCCGAATCCAAGGACGAGACGACCGATGAAGAGACAGGCCAGGTTCGGGGCCATGGCCTGCATGATAGCGGCGACGATGACGAGAGCGTTACCAAGGAAGTTAACACCGCGACGGCCGAGGACGTCGGCGCAGCTGAGGAAGGGAGCGCCCAGGAAGCCACCGATTTGCATCAGAGCATTGATCGTGGAGATGATGACACCGGCGTTGCCGAAGCCGTAGAAGTCGTGCCAACGGTCGTTGGAGTTGATTCCGCTGATGACACCCCAGTCAATACCGAAACTATTCACAGACTGGTCAGTATCTTCATCCCATTGCCTCAGTCAAAAACAAGCAAAATTCGTCGTCAGCTTACCCCGCTTGGTTGCAGCCCATCACGAGCATGTAACCGAAGATGTAAAGGCCAGTCTTGGACTTCAGTGTAAGGGCCTCGGCTGACTTGCGCATCATGTCGGCCTCTGAGATACGGGTTGCCGCAACTTCTTCGACGGCAACACCAATCTTGTTCGCCTGGGCGACATCGTCGTGGAAGATGACCGTGTGGTCAACATCTTCTCGAGGCGCCATGATTGGCTAGACGTTCTTGCTTTGGCGCAGGAGACCGCTTCGTGGAGTCTCCTCAGGTTGGGGTTGAGGCAAATGGGAACGCGGGTGAAGAAACGAGAAGCCCGAGTCTCTGGAACCGTAGGATCTCATGTTGCAGCGGTGCCTCGGCGGATATATAGAGCTTCCCCAACCTTCGCTCTGGGAGCGGGAGACAGGACTAGGAGGGCTGCTTTCATCCTGCACTGCTACCCTTCTGGTGCAACACGGAATGGCCTTCCGATAGCTGGGCCTCGAACCCTGAAGAGGGATGCGATCCCCAGACTCTCAGACGTTCCAACTGGCCATGTGGTTCACATGAGATGCTCCTTGCAGCACGAACCAGTCCAAATTCACTGCCGATTTCCCTTCCTTCGCCTCTAGAGTAACCTCTGTTTTTTCCCAAGATCCACCCAACAGCTCAGACAGCATCGGCTTTGTCTGCTGATGATTGGCCTGAGCGGTTGTCAACATGCAGTTGGATCAGACCAGGCGTCAAATCCCTCCGGAACGAGCATATTCGGTCTGCTTTCACCCGTGATGATTGGCTCGAGGCAAACGGCCGGCCGGCTACCCCACACTCCCCGAGCCAATTTTCCTCAAATGATACGACGCCGAGGCTTCTACCCCGGTCGATCGTGGGTTGTCTGGGGTTAAAGTCGCCTAGGGCCGCCCGACTCTCATCGTCTTTGAAAGAGGGCTTTTGGACGGCCAGAACAGATTCTGATCACCGGCTCATCAGAGTTTTGTCTTTTCCCCAACCCCTTGGTCTTGGAAGCTTGGAATCCAGGCTAGACTTGACCGTCCCTCGAAGTACCCCAATCCGGGCACCGGCATAACGGCACGTCGTTCCAAGGCAAAATGCCCCCCGTTCATGATCCAGAAAGCTTCGGCTCCGGCTCCGGCGAGGGCCGATCTCCTGGTTCCTTGCGTCTCCACTACCAGTCCCCCGCCTCCGAATGGTCTGAGGCCTTACCAATCGGCAACGGGCGGCTGGGTGCCATGGTCTATGGGCGAACTGACACCGAGCTCTTGCAGTTGAATGAGGACTCGGTGTGGTACGGCGGGCCGCAGGACAGGACCCCCAAAGACGCCCTCCGCCACTTGCCGAAACTCCGACAGCTCATCCGAGATGAAAAGCACGCCGAGGCCGAATCCCTCGTGAAAGAAGCCTTCTTCGCGACTCCCGCCAGCATGCGGCACTATGAACCGCTGGGCACTTGCACCATTGAATTCGGCCACGCCACTGAGGATGTGACGAACTACCGCCGGTACTTGTGTCTAGAGACCGCGCAGACGACTGTCGAATATCAATATCGGGGTGTCTCTTACCGTCGAGACGCCATTGCCAGCTTCCCAGATAATGTATTGGCGTTCAGGATCACGGCAGCGGAGGCCACTCGATTCGTCATTCGGCTGAGCCGAGTGAGCGAGATTGAGTGGGAGACCAACGAGTTCCTCGACAGCATCGATGCAGTAGGGGGGCAGATTACACTGAGTGCGACGCCTGGCGGACGGAATAGCAATCAATTGTCTATTGTCCTCAAGGTTTCCTGCGATGGTGCGGAAGGATCCGTGGAGACAGTCGGTAACTGCGTGGTGGTGACCTCTTCAGCGTGTACCATTGCCATTGGCGCTCAGACAACCTACCGAGAGATCGAACCCGAAGACGCCGCTAGGGGTGATGTCCTCGAGGCGTTGAAAATCCCGTGGACCACACTGGTTAATCGTCATCAGATGGACTATCGCAACCTCTTTGGTAGAACAAAACTTTGTATGTGGCCTAATGCCAACCATCTCCCAACAGATGAGCGGATCAAAGAGAACCGAGATCCCGGGCTGATTGCTCTATACCACAACTACGGTAGGTATTTGCTCATCTCAGCAAGCCGAAACTCTGTGAAGGCGCTGCCTGCAACACTGCAAGGTATCTGGAACCCTTCTTTTGCCCCGCCGTGGGGATGCAAGTATACCATCAACATCAACCTCCAGATGAACTATTGGCCGGCCGGACCGTGTGACTTGACCGAATGTTCTGTTCCGATGCTCGACTTGCTAGAGCGGATGGCGGAGCGGGGGGAAAAGACGGCAAAGACCATGTACGGCTGTGGAGGATGGTGTGCGCATCACAACACTGATATCTGGGCAGATACAGACCCCCAAGACCGATGGATGCCCTCTACTATCTGGCCTCTCGGGGGTGTCTGGGTTTGTATCGACGTTTTTGAGATTTTGCAGTATCGGTACGACGAGACCCTTCACAAGCGAGCCGCGGCTGTCTTGGAGGGCTGTATCGTTTTCCTTCTCGACTTTCTAGTGCCATCAGCTTGCGGCACATACTTGGTTACGAACCCATCACTATCACCCGAGAATACTTTCATCTCTGAATCAGGCGACGCTGGCATTCTCTGTGAAGGTTCCGCCATCGACATGACTATTGTTCGAATAGCCTTTGAGAGATATCTTTGGAGTACTGATAAACTGCGCATTGACAGCCAGTTGCGAACCAAGGTGAAAGAGGCCATCGGCAAGGTGCCCCAGTTGTCCATCAACGCCGACGGTTTGATTCAAGAGTGGGGGGTAAAGGACTACCAAGAGCTTGAGCCGGGCCATCGACATGTCTCCCACTTATTTGGGTTGTACCCGGGAGAAAGCATCAGCCCTGGGAGATCTCCAGAGCTAGCGACTGCTGCGAAAAGAGTACTGGAACGAAGAGCAGCGCATGGAGGTGGACACACGGGTTGGAGCAGGGCTTGGTTACTCAATCTCCATGCTCGACTCCTGGATGGTGAAGGCTGCGGTCAGCACATGGACATGTTGCTCAAGAGCTCAACGTTGCCGAACATGCTCGATAATCACCCGCCGTTCCAGATTGATGGCAACTTTGGCGGGTGTGCCGGAATCCTCGAGTGTTTGGTTCAGTCCAGTGTCTTGCAAGATACCAGAGAAATACATGTAGTCGAGATTCGACTTCTCCCGTCATGTCCCACAAGCTGGCCTGATGGTGAGCTTTCACGGGCTCGAACCAAGGGTGGATGGCTTGTGACGTTGGAATGGAGGAACGGCAGTATCACAGAACCGGTCCTGGTGGAATATCCTGGTGCCGAAAATGCTGAGGCTCAAATTGTTTTCCCCGATGGTTCTCGGACTATTGTGTGTGGCGGTGCGCCATTGTCTAAGCAATATGTAGAGCGCCAAGGACAGAAAGGCTAGCATTGTTGATGATCGCAGCCACTTTCAGGGCGAACGTCCGTATTCTGGAATGCGTATCAACGAATTCATCTTGTGTATTTGCATGTTTGGCAACCCGGGGTTGAGCTAACGATAAGATGATCGCTTGTAGAAATATGAGCAACCTCAACAAGCTTCGAAGCTCTGCCGTCCGTCCGTTAATGAAAGATTTGCGAAGTATGACCTTGAAGAAAATTCGGGTGAAGATGGAAATTTGGAAAAACAACAACACAGGGACTCTTCATTTCCCACGTTTATTTGTCGACCGAGATTTCAGTGCCGCGACGAACGGACATTGTCTGCAGGGCGTAAATGGTCCGAGAGTTGGCACTATGACCGCCACTTCCGAGCGGTTGGCGTGAAACATTGGAGACTATGAAGTTGGAAGCCTTTTTCGGTCAAAGGACCGTGGTATCGGCGAGATATGGATCTTTGGATGACTGGATCAGGGTCCGCCGAGAGGTTGCACTTGCACCGGCCGTCCGGTTCCGTTACGTCGATATCGATTGGATGGTTGTATCGGAAGCGACATGAGGACGGAGGGAACGACTTGTATCTGCGACGGGTGCAACGATCGCCGGCCGGGCAGAAATTGGCGACGGAAGATGCGCGGAGCACTGGAACGGAGCTCCCTGCTCGTTGGGGAGGATCTCCCGCGTGCGTATCCGTTGGACTAGTGCAACTTTGAACTAGTGAGCCGTAATTTTTGGAAGGCCAGCTGCATGAGGATGACCTAGGATCTTGGAGAGCATCTATAGGCGACTTTTCTTGACTCTGCAGAGTTGGTGGTGGCATGAGACGGATGGGTTGACAGTGTCATGCGGATGGGACACTGGACCTTGGCGCGTGGGCGTCTGAAACATGGCATCCGAACCTTTCTGCTGGCTCCCGCGAGTGATGTGACTTGTTTCTTTTTTCTCTCCGAGAGGCTAGCACATTCGGCATCGCAGCTTCGATCGGCGCCAACGCGGCTGCGCCTGTGCAAAGCAACCTCGGAGTGTATCCAAGAATGTCGTGCAGAGACCAGAGGGCCCAGCGAGCCAGCGAAAGCAGCAGCAAGCACCGACCAGGTAGGTGGGTGAGCACCAAAGCCGCAGCAGAGGAACTCAAGGGTGAGTTGGTGCCAGTGGTGGGCCGAAAAGGATCAGTGCATTGCATGAACCGAAACTTGGGATGACCCTGATACGGTGATCAAGTCAGCCCGGGAGCGGCCCTGCTCGCAGCCGTCGAGCCGTCGTCATCCGAGGATTGGGATTGGAATTGGGGGTCAAAGTCTCTTTGGTCTGACCTGTTGATTTGGTTCCAGGTCGCTGAGTCCGTCTGTAAGCTGCGCTCAGTCACTGGCGTAGTTTCGCGGCGCGTTTGTAGAGGGTTAGAAAACAATGACGCGGGAGTAGCTGTAGGGCGTCCGATTTGACGGGGGCGGACAATGAATGAGACAGATGGTCTATGGTGTGTCGATTTGCTCTGCTTCCACCTAGACATTGAGATGGTTTTCGCATGGCGCATTGTACATCGCTCCCCCACTGCAAGGTGGATGATCGCCGTCAGCCATATTGGGATAGCTTCGCCGTGAACATATTTTGAGAGAGAGCCCAAAGTGGATAGACTGAGGAGTTGGGAGTGTCCTGGTAGGGAAGACTAGACGTTGATTGAAGAAATAATGCGGGTGGTTGAAGCTTGAAATGACTCCTCTGCTGCCAGCGGATGTTGCAGGAGTAAAATGACGAAGGAGGGGCAGCGACAGCACACACCAAGTATCCACGGTACGTATCTTTTTCTCAGTAGGTAGGTAAGAAAAGTGGTGGACGGGTGCGGCGATACGTACTTCGTTCACGGAAATGCTGATGGAAGGTGTTGTTTCCTCTTGAGGGCAGTTGCCAAAAAAAGGTACATTCTCCACCACCAAGGTCCTCATCCCGCGCTGTGATTGGCAGGTCTGGCCAGAGGAGTCCCTTCCTGCGTCTTTTCCCGCGCCTACCTACCTACCTTAGTACTTACGGAGTACCTTAAGGCACGAGGCAGTAAGGAGATTACCTTAGGTAAGGTGACATTACCTAATCGTCTTCAGCCACTCACCTTTTGTTGCCCGTGGTAGCAGCCCGTGGTCCCATACTGGACTAGCGCTGTGCCACGACAAGGGGTGACAGGGGGCAACCCGCAACAGCAACAACGACCACCACCACACACCACACACGCCCGTCGCCCACACGCCCACTCCCAAACTCCACGCCCACTCACGCCTGACCGACATCAACATTGCACCGACCTTTCCCTTTCCTGTCCACTCCCGTCCTGTCCCAGCCATGCCCAGCTGTGTGTCCAGTCAGTCCAGTCCCTGAAAGTCTTGTGTCGCCGATAGCGAGCGTGCAGATGCATCTCTCTTCCGCCGACATCTCGACACCGACGACGACGACAACGACGACTACGACTTCGACAAACAACGACCACGGCCACCGATAATCGACCAACAACGGCACCAGCCACGACCCATCGACGACACAGGTAAGTCATCGACGCCCAGTATCAACATCGACAACCACCCACGCGACATTCCGGACCCTTCTATTCTTCCATTTCGACATCCTCCTTTTCTGAATCGGGCTGCTCGTCTTTCCCACGCTCTGATACGACACCCCCAACCACCCAAAACAACACTTCGAAGTCGGTACGTGCTATGTTTTCTACCGCCCTCGATCGCGTCAAATCTGGCGAGCGGTAGAAGAAGGCTGACGACAACAATACAATAGCACGCATTTCACGGCTTTTACAATCATTCACATTGACGACTACAATTTTCATTTGTATCACTTCAACAACTTCCATTTGCGACCGCAGCGAGTGCCCCCACCTCGCACCTTCTGCGCCCACCACCAAACCCAACCACCCACAGGTTTTCACCCGATAACCGCCGAGCATCATATGCGGTCCGAATAAACATCGCGACGGCGTCACAATCAAACAGCCATGGCAGAGCCACCATCCTCACCGCCCAGCGAGGCGATGAGCCCCGAAGATCAGCTGCGCTGGTACAAGTCTCAGTATGCATCACTCGAGGAGGAACTGTCCGAGTTCAGGGAATCCAGCAAGGAGCTAGAACAGGAGCTCGAGAAGGACATCGAGCAGGCCGAAAAAAGGGAGCGCAAACTTCAGGAAAAAGCAGAGAGCCTCAAGTTCGAGGCCGAGGAGTGGAAGGTGAGATCATGCCCCCTCCCGCCCGTTATCGTTTATCGGCGCGCATACTACATACCGCGAGACGTCCAGTCCTAACTAACTTTTCCCTCCAGTCCAAATACAACCAAGCCAAAAAGGATGCGAATGCGGCGCAAAACACCCTCGAAAAGGAAATCACAACGCTGCGCGACACCAACAGGACACTCCAGCTCAAGCTGCGCGATATCGAGGTTGCCAACGATGATTTCGAGAGGCAAGCACGAAACACCAGCTCCTCCCTCGAGGACCTCGAATCCAAGTTCAACAGTGCGATCGAGCGCAACGTCATGATGGAAGAGGAGATCAAAATCGGAGAACAGGAGCGAGAGACGCTGCGCATCGAGGCGCAGCGCCTGCGCGAGGAGCTTTCCGACCTCAAGATCGAGGCCGAGGTGCTCCAGGACAAGATCAAGAAGCAGGAGCAACGTCACCTGTCCGCCATATCCACCGACCTTTCCGTCCTTTCATCCCCCGTTTTCGACAAGACCCTCGACGCCTCCCCAGGCTCGACCGCGAGCTCGCCCATGGTATCGACCCCGCCCGACGCGGAAGCTCTCCCGGCTGCGAAACCCGCCCAGATCAGCGAGCCTCCATCCCCGCCAATGTCCGACGTTTCCGCCTCCGTACCCAAGAGGATTGTCTCTCGAACGCCCCTCAAGACGCCGGCCAAGACTCCGGCATCGGCGACTCGCAAATCGCGTCTGCCGTCCACCGAACACAGCATCACGCCCAAGCCTCGTTCCTTCACGACATCCGTTAGCAGCACCCGTCCGTCTGGTGGTCGTCCCTCAACGGGGCCACCGACACGCACACCCGCGCCTCGCACCGCCCCTCGCTCCATCTCCACACGCATGCCCCCCAAGCCTGCCAACAACTCTCTCGCCCACATCAGAACCCTCACGGCCCAGATGCAGCGTCTGGAGGCCCGCGTACACAACGCACGATCGAAGCTGCCTGCCCCCGTCACAACACCCCCTCGAGCCTCGCCCCGCTCATCGGTTCTCGGAGTCCACAGCGTACCGTCAACGGTTACTATCCGCTCACGGAAACGTCCCAGTGGCTCCACAGCCTCATCAGTACGGGTCGACGACACTACGCCATCCAACCCCAACTTCTCTGCCAGCACAAGATCCAAGCATGTACCTCGACTTAGCACTTCAGGTGTCAGCCGGTTGTCTTTTGGCCCACTGCCGAACCGGAACCCAGGGGCTGGTCTTGAACACAGCGATTCTACTATGTCTCGGCCGAGCTCACGGGCTAGCATCTCGTCGTACGCCAGGCCATCAAGTCGCACAGAAATGGCACCACCCCGGCCCATCAGCCGCACCAGTATGTCTGGCACCCGGACACCCCTGGGCCGTCCTCGCAGCTCCTTGGGTGGCAACCTGCACGCGCGCTCTGCTAGTATCAGCAGCCGCATCGATATTGACGAAGGCGACGAAAACGGCGAATTCAGAACACCTAGCAGGAGAGGCACGTATTCTCGCTTGGAGGCAGAAAACTCTGTGAGCGGTATCCCAGCCCCTACCAGCGGCATCCCGATGCCGAGCGGGAGACGGCAAAGCGGAGGAAGCGTCTCCGGGAGGCGAAGCTCGATGGGCCTAAGGAGTTCCATCATGGGCGCTCAGGATCAACTCGTCGAAGAGGAGACGTACTAGGCAGGCTTTAATTGCCATCACGGGAGGAGGATTACTTGATACCAGCAGAACAGCACCGCTGCTTCTGACTACTTGACCCGGTGCATACGGAACCGGGCCACGGGCAGCTGCGCCATTATCAGCGAGCAACATAACATACCCTCATTTTCAACAGAGAAGAGAGACAAGAGAGTCTCATTCTTTTCTTCATACCTATTTTCTTTGTTCATTGCTTCTTCATGACTACAGGGTTTCCAGGGCAGGCGTGTGGATACAAACTGCTGCATCCGAGGCGTTGGTATGATTCTCGGGTTTCAAACGGGGGATACAGCATGGCGGTGCCTCTTTTGGGTTTCTTCTCACTGTTTTTTCGCAATCCGGGGAAATACCTTTTGTTGACACGCAAGCAAACTACTTTTACAACTATCGAACACACACACATCCCAACCCCCCAAGATCCGTCGAACCATACCTTGGTCTGAATATACTGGTTTATTACTTCATGATGTGCTGCTTGAGTTCCAGTGAGGAAGGTGTTCGTGAAGGGCTGTTACGTGAAGACGAGCTCGGCATGAGAGAGAGGACGTGATAGCCGGCAGGTAGTCCTGGAGAGTAGGCACATGTACATCTCAAGTTTCGCTCCAAACATTGCGCCACATTTCGGTACTCGACACGGACGGAGTAGGCAGGGGCTAAGCAAAGGCTGTGTAAATACGGTGTTGTTTGTCGATGAAGACCAGATGAAGGTCGTGTGATGTGTTTCTCAGGTTTGCTTGCTGTCGCCGATTCGGCGTTGACCGGTGATACCTAGATTAACGCAGAGTGGGGTGTGGTGGGTGGGTAAAGCCGACCGACCGACCCCGCGCCGGTGAGGCGGGGGGATTCCTATCCGCCGTCCGGTTCCGTTTGTGGAGGGCCGAATTGGAGGAGATTTGCCGACCGAATGATGGATGTATTAAGAACCTTCAGGCGAACGTTGATAGATAAATAAGATAGATGATCGATCCTTCACAAAAGAAACAGAGTCTTCTTCTAGCCGGAATGCGACCGATGTCTCTTCCCCTATGTTTATCTCTGTTGGGGTGGCCGGGCCGGTCTGTGTAATATTAGATCAGCACCGACAGACACCAGCGCATCCATCAAAGCAAACAAGCACATTCGTCACCCGAAAGCCCGACAGACAAACAAAACAAAAGGGACTGTTCCCACACCGAGGTTCGAACTCGGGTCTCTCCGGTAAATTCTCAGAATGATAGACTGAAAGCGGAGTATCCTAACCACTGGACTATATGGGACTCTTCTGGGTTGACCTTGATGAGGTCGTGGTGAATCACGGCTGCAGTTGGTCTAAGTGCTTTTGGCGATGACGGGCACACGTTCCTTAGCTTGCCACTTCACGTAATGACGCATCTTTTTCGATGGAAATGAATGAGGAAAGAGGAATTGAATGCATGGATAAGATAGTGTGGTTCACATTGAGGTAAAGAAATTTACTCTTGAAAGGCTACGACGGGTTCGGGTTGGTGTTTTCTTTCCACCCGTTAAGGTTGTGTTTGACTCATAGATCATCGTGAATTATAAACACTGATTAAAAGACGAGGAAAATAGCCACATCAGCCCACACTCAGTAAATTGCCCAATTCTCCCATAAATTCAATCGAAGAACCTGTAGAGATTTCTCTCCAAGTTCCAGAATTCATTTTCCCGCTTTTTTGCAATACTTCGTGACTAAACCACACATCCCAAGACCGTATATCCTTCACTACCACACCGACAGGGCACCAACTCAAATCAACACCAAGAATCCCACCCTCAGTTTCAATCAAGCAATATGATACCTGCTCTACTCATATTGGCCTGTTGTAGTCGCTGTCGTGATGCGGTTGATCACCGGTCTCAACTCATACCATCCCTTCCGCGACAACCCAGCTAGACAGCCAGACACGGAAGAAGCCGTGCTCTCAGCCTCGTCTCTTAGTAAAGCTCACTAGACCCAGCGGATTACCTTCACAATAGAAGGAAGAGCGTGCCCGTATTGACAGGATCTTTCTACCGTGAATATGCTTACATGAGGTTCTTCATTCAGGTGCTGATCTTATGCCCTTTACACACATTCACTAATGCACACGTATCGATGACTACGTTCGTTATGCTAGCTTGAGCGAAGTTCATGGAGACTTGGCCGATGTACTCCTGTAGGAATGTCACTCGTTAGACCATAGACATGTCGTGCGCAGATCTGCCGAGGCGAACATTTTCTCTCGACTACAAGACAAGCACCTGCAGATCTGACATGCGGCACACAAGTCCAATATTCACGGGAGACTTGTCGTAGGACATGGAACCCAGTTGCCGATGATGTTTGCCCAGGAACCAGAAACCAGAACCAAGGCCGCGGCTCCGGTGTTGGATGTATTGTTTCGTGGTAGGTTTCTGTCAGAGCAAAGTCCTGGCATGTGCATGCAGAATCACATTCGGCGGGTCACTCCTCAGACTTCGATACATCCCAAGAACTCTAGGGACAGAAGAGTCATTCCAGCTTTGGAACTTTGACATCCGCTGGCCATAGAGAAGTAGTTTGCGGGGTGCGCCAGGAGCACCAGCTCATCGACATCAAACAAAGCATTCGTCCCAGTATCGGCTTTGATCTGGCCTTGGTCTCATGTTATCCAACTGTCACGAGCGACATGCCAAGTGGCCAAACCTATCCGTACGTAGTTTGGCTAAACTTACTGTGCAGATGCGGTCTCAGAGCAACGGTTGACTACTTACAGCGACGCACGTACCTGCAAGCCCAGTTCGGACGGGCAAGCTAAGACCGGCGTTCAGAGCCGCTCGAGACACGATGCGGTCGGCAGTCGAGCTGCAGGCACAGTCCCATGCGGCTCTGGTCAGTAAGGATGTGGGGTACCCATGATCTAGACGACGACTGTTGATTGAGGAAGCGTGGACGTATTTGTAGGCAACGTTTTGCCATGTCAGGATGGGCTGGAGAGATCTGTAAATGACCTTGGGTCAGAGATCTGTAGATTACCTTTGACCAACGTCCCGTTACTGGTGCTGCTAAACCAAGTGTCAGCAAACGCCGTCTCACCGGCGCTGGCTCCCGCCCATCGGCGTCACAGGTCGGAGCTGAAGGGGGAAGCCTGGTTATTATTAGGAGCACGAGCAGTCCGTCCGCTCCGGCTAGGAGAGATGGACGTTAATGGTGGGGCCCGTCTCTTTTGGGGAGTGCCGTCTTTCTGAGAATAAAAAAAAAAAAAAAAGGACGAAGGATGATGGGCGGAAGTGGGCGCGTCAGATTACGCGCAGTACGTCCCCAGCTTTGACAGGATCGGATCTGCTCGCCCCGTCTTTAGCGCGGCCAAGTAGGTATTTGTAGGGAGCTAGTGTAGCATCCGCTCTGCTCTCCGAACGAGGCGCCGAGTACGGGACGGCCTGAGGGGGCCAATGCTCGGTGATATCCTCGCTCTGGGGCGTATTGGTGTGCATGTACGTTTTGTATCCTCTAGTCTGGGGTTATGATGGGGACTGGTACTCTATTACGGTGGGAATGGGCCAACAGAAGTCCGCGCGATGTCGACGAGCCGTGATGGTTGCGTTGTCATGGATGGGATGGGCTGGGGAATTTGGATACGTGACGGGAGACCTCGGCCGTAGGTGAGTGGTGGAAGAAGGGAAGTTTCGGGTTCGTAGTGCCGGTAGCGGCAGTGGCCATCGTTCAGGGTGCAGAGAAACTGCGTGGTGAAGTTGAGATTAGCTAGTTGAAGACTAAGCAGGCCTAGGTAACCATACCATGGGTTTGGTCCTGAGATGAGAGAAGGCGTTCGTCTGCGAGGTGGTATCTAACTCTCTCTCACTGTCAGGATCCCACTATCATTAGCCTCAGTCAGCATGCTGGCTGCATTTTGGCTTTCACATCCCCCAGAACATTTGTGGCTGCAGCTGACGACTGAGGCTGCGAACCCCCTGCTTGAGGCGCGGTTCAAGCCTGAATTGATATTGATGTCGTTGACGCCGGCGGGTTGGCTGCAAGCCGGGTGGAGACGGGAATGGAGCACGGGCTCCGCAGATGGACGGACAAGATGTTGGGGATCTGCGGGTGGAGATTTTCTTTTTTGGTCTGGCGCTGGTTGGCAATGTTTTTTTCTCCCCCTTCTTCGGTGCTGTCTTCTCCTTCTTTGGGTGGGGGCTTGGTTGTTTTCGTGAGTTTGCTATTGGTGCTTGGAGAACCCCCGGCATTTCTCGAAGGGGCCCAGCGAAGGCGACCCCCAAATTGTGTCCCAAAATCCCAATTGTTGGGGGGACCGACATTTACCGTCCACGTCGACGTGGCCCGGCAAAGCTCATCGGGGGCGGCATTGATGTTGGTGGTGGGAGGGAAGGCCAGGGCCTAGCAATCCCAGCTGCTATCGGCTTGACGAGGGACCCTTATCGGGTTGGACCGGTGGTCCCTTGGCCTGGCGCTTGACTTGGTTGGAATTTGCATGTTGAATGATGAAGCTCTGTCCCAAGACATTGGACTCTGGGGGAAAGCAGGATGCGAAACTGAAAAGAACGAGACTTTGGTGTGGTTCGCGAGGTCTGTCCCATCCGAGACACCAAAGGTTTAGACACGAGCGTTTGGCCACTGATCGAGTGCCAGTCCAAGCCAGCGGATGAGACCGAGAGTTGGGACGTTGATCTTTGCCATGTATGCCCTGTACTTGGTCGTTCAGCATTCTCCGTCATCTATGGCTAGTGTAATAGTGCTCGACGGGGACCTCATCTGTAGCCGGCGCTGTACTGTGTAGGTTCTGCAGAAGGCCAAGGAGGTTCTAGGTCGGTAAAGTTGGGTACCTGGCCCGGTCTGCGTACTGCGTACAGAGTCCTGCGTAGCCTGTAGGTACGGTACTGCGTAGGACTAGCGGAAGCTGATGGCAGTCCCCGGACGGAGAACCGGCGAGGCTAGGCGGTTTAGAGGTGCGTAAGCGAGTCGACAGTTAGGTTGTTGAGGCTTGCACCCCTGGACGACCTGGGCGCCGCCTGACTGACCGCCTGCGAAATCGGGTATAGGGTGGAGGGGTGATCGATGGGGACACCTTGATGGAGCTTTTCTCTTGAAACTTGAAGGGGGCCGGCCTGTACATTTGTTCCATACTCCCAGACTTCCAGTGCCGGGCGACAAGAAGTTGGGGCCGATGAAAGTTGGGATGCCAAATGGGATGGATGCAAGAGATGCGCGCATTGGTCGTGTCGGGCTCCTGGACTCATGGGAGGGCAGACTTTGCCAGTATGTGTTTGCTTGCTGGGGCCGGGGTTTACCAACGGCGCTCTCGAGCTGTGGGTGTCGGGCCTGGGTGTAATTATACGGCGTTGATGAGGTTGACGATCGGTGTCTAACGGCCGGCGGTGCGGTGCGGCGGTGTCAGAGTGCAGTGACAGGGTGCCATTGGATCGTGGCAGTCAGGTAACGCAATAGCTTTCGGACATTGTTTGGAGATGCCGTCGGGGTTCGGTGGTGGCAACCATGGCTGACCCGACCCGATCCTCCATCAGGTTCAGGAGCGCGCGGAGGGTACATCAGGATTTGGTAAGAGAAAATAGGAGCTGGAATTGGACGCAGTTGTCGCATTTCGTAGCGATCGTGGTGGTGTGTGTGTGTCACTGTCACGACCAACGATCTATCTCGAAGATTAGGTGTGGTGTTGAAGAATGGTGACGAAATGGTTGAGAAATTGCGCAACAGCCGAAATCTCGAGGTGCAAGGCAAAGGAAGGAAGGAAGGAATGCGGCAGCAACGCGCAGAAGGAGCTTTGGCCCAAGGGTACGTATCGATAAGGCCAACGATAACGTCCCGAGGGCTGCAGGTGGAGACATAAGGTAGGTACTAAGGTAAGGTAGGTATGTACCTTCAGGCACAAGGGAACTTGCCGCAACAGAAAGAAAGAAGATGCGAGGAAGAAAGCTGAGAGACTGAACCAAACAAGGAGCTTTGATTGGAGAGGGCGACACATCGCTGGCCCAAATCTGACCTGAGGGAAAAATCAGAAAAGTTCCAGCGGCAGAATCCCCTGGGCCGGAAAAGAATGGAAGCCAGAATCCAGATGCGCTACGGGATGAGGATCGGTACCTGAAGCCCCCGTCATAGCAGACGTACCGGCGCAAGTATCTCTTGTACGGATACCCTGTCCATGAATGTTCAATGCTCCCGCCGGGTACGTACCGAAAACCAGGGGCAGAGGATGCAGGTTGACGTTTGTTTCCTCACAGTTTTTTTTTTCAAGTGCCCAGGATCTGTTTTGTTGCTAGTTGA